AGATGATCATGATCAGGTGAAGAAGTTTTATCTCTTTTAAGAAATGGCTTTTGGCAGAATGGAAGGGCAAAATGGCATAGTGTTTTGACAGTGACTTTTGTTTGCCTATTTTAACAAAACTTTCGTAATGAAAACAAGAGACACTCTCAATTTTAAGAAGAGTATTAAAAATTTTTATGGCAATAACGGTATGTTTTAAATAATATTTATAATAGTAAATAAAGTTTTTATGAGAAAATTACTGTTAAAAAAAAAAAATCTTTACAAGACGTTTTTTTGTTATGATAAGTACAACTATCGTGAAAAACTAGTCTCAAAATATTCTAATTCTTGTAATGACACTTCCTTAGATTAGTATTCAAACTCGGGTTGTTCGGGTCATCACGATTAGCACTTTGTCACTGAAGTAGAATGGCCGTTGTGTGCGGAAGACATCATGAGTTTGAGATGGCATGATACCAAGCTACTGCCAAAATACTGAATGGTGGAGTGATACATCAGATCCCCTACAATACGAATACAGTTTATTAAGTAGTGATACGTTATCAACCTAAATGGTTTAGTATTCGTGCTTCATATTATCTATCTTTGGTCAATTTAAAGAAGTACGTATCTCTATATTTCGATGATCTTCGAAAGAAACGATAACCATCTTTTAGCATAGCTCTTTCCCTCCCAAAATTAACTTGATTCTCACACTCTAAATTCAGACATAAATTAACACGTGAGCAAATCATAATTTGAAAATCAAAACCTAGATTGAGATAAGAACGAAGAGGTGGGGGTGGGGATTGAGAGGTGACTCTAATCCGTGTTCTTCTGAGAATGGAATAAAGGGTCGGGAGTTATATGTCTCTCTTTCTCTTTCACTATCATAAACAAAAACTTTTATGCTATAATATTCATAGATTCAATCAAATAATATCTATAATATAAATATACTAAATTTCAATAAACTCATTCAACGGTCACTAACATTTCTCTCAAAATCATTTAGATTGCACCATGTCTACGGAGACAAATTACCCTTAATACATATGTATCTACAGATATCTATACAGAAGAGAGGGATAATAGGTCCTCCTCGGCATCATGCTCCATCTACATGTCTTAAAACAACAAAAATTACATGACCCATATGAAAAAATAACCATTAAGGAAAACCCTTGATCAATTTTCCAATGATGCTAGTAAAACTCATCAAATATTAGATCAAAGATTAAACGATCGAATCCAACTCATATATGTTATGTGTTTATGAATAATAGTATTATTTTTGGATTCATATATGGTGTTAATATACATTGTCCAAGATTTTTTTTTTTGGACATAACATACACAGAAGAAACACACACAACAATCTACAAGGCAAAACTCAACACACACATAGAGAGGGACCCACAAACCAATTCTTGCGAGCCATTTATACTCACAGAATTGGTGAAGAGCAACCGATCAACACACACATGGACCCACAAACCAATTCTTCTTAAAAGAAGAATTGGCACTGAGCCGTCCAAGATTAAAACTCCTATTTTGTAGTGATATATTCTGGTTACTAAAATCCAATTGGTGTCATGGTCGAACGAGCTTGCCTCCTTTGTCGGGTCCACTTAAATTTTGATTAATGTGTAGGATTATTTTATCCCATCAGTGATCCTCCAGCTAAGAAATGCTTTAATTAGTGTTATCACAACCGATTAGCCATGTGGATTGTTCACATGTAGACAAGTTAAGATGTCTGACATTAAGTTAAAATATAAGATTTAGAACAAAAGTAAATCCAATTCTTAATCACACCAATGATACACTGCACACCTACTTACCCACCCCCAATATAAAAAGAATTAATAAAAATAAAAATTGTAGGGAATTTATTTGCGCGTTCGAGATGTCCTCCTCTCACGAAAGGATTTTGGCTGACCTGCATGCGTTCGGCAATAGCCTTTACCTTTCTTCGGCCTACCGGAACTTGTCTTACATCGGAAGAGAGTCGTCTCTCCCCTGACATATAAGTCTTGACACTATATGGAGGAGATACCCACTAGCCAAGTTCCTAGAAGTGGCTAGTGGGTACCTCCTCCATATAGTATCAAGGCTTATATGTCAAGGAGGACGACAACTCTCTTTCGATATGGGACAAGCTCCTGCGGGCCAAAGAAGAGTAAAGGTTATTGTCGAACGTGCACAGGTCAGCCGAAATGCTTCTGTGGGGGGAGGACATCCCGAACACGCGAATAAATCCCCTACAAAAATAAAAGTCACTAATGATAGAATAGGATAGGATAGTTTTTGTGCATTTCCTTTTAAAGATGTCTTTTTCGGATGCATTCATTATAGATAATTTATTGGGATCAGACCATGAATAATTTATTTTTCATTAATACCCCAATCTTGATTAAACCGAAATTAAAACACAAGTTTGCTATTAACTATCATTTTCTATACTTTCAAGATTAATTATATTATATATATACGAGGCTTTTTTTTTTTGTGCATAAAAATTATGTCCTAAATAAGGTAACAAAAGGAAAGGATCAGGTGGGATTTTTTATTCCTACTTTTATAGAACGATATCATTAAATAAAAAAAAAAGGTAAAAGCAACAATGACTCGGATGGTTTTTTATCTTTTTTTTTTAAAAAAAACGAAAGCAATGATCAGTTTGCCATTTTTTTTTTCCAAATAGATATGGGGATTGATCACTCCACATATCTATCGGAAAGCATTGTCCTTCATTATCAACACAACTATTTGCAGGGGACTCCATTGCACTTACGATTGGGTTGAAGTTAAAGTCCCGTCATGTGCTTTTGGTGTTGAAGAGTAGGTTTAACCCCAACAAACTGTTGTAATTATGGAGATTCGACTCAAGTATTGAGCAAGAAAATTTGAGTTCTTACCTATTAGGCCAACAACTCATTGTTGATTAGTTTGTTTTTGCCAGCAAATAGGGGTGTTCACTCTATCATATGAGTAGGAATATATGGTCTTCCGTCTTCCTATCCGATACTTTGCAGAAATTTTTTTTTTTGGCTTACCATACCCAATCAAATGTAGTATTCTTACCCGACTTCCGACCAAATTAATTGGGTAGGAAGTCGGGAGAACAATTTCATAGTTATTAATATTTGGATCATTTTAACAATTCAATTAAATAACATGCACTAATTTAATTACACAATAAACCAATAAAAATAACTTTTAAAACAATTACAATATAAACACAAAAAAGCATAAACATCAATCTATCATAATTGTTACACAAATACAATAACAATTATTTTAAATTTAAACCATATGATTAGGATATGAATACAAAAATTAATGACTATTTTGCATTCTTATCCAATTTAATCAGAAGACCAAAAACTATTTCGCATTCCTACCTAATTTTTTCGATTAGCCGTTCAATAAGGTCGAAAAAAATCGAATAGGATCAGAAATTGCTATTAATCAAAAATTTGAACACTCTACCAACAAACAAAGTATTCCATGGAAAATTTAATAAAATCTGAGTCTTGAAACGAGGGTTGCCAACCCATCGCCACCATGGAAAACGTGGGGAGTTTTTTTGGATGGGGTTTAGTTACCAAAGTATTCTCTATTTTCCATAAATTCAAACCATGGCTGGATGTATATATTAATATAACTTGGATGGATCGGATTCCACTTGACATTTTTCGTTAATCTCAAGTTATTGTCATTTCATCGATTGATACTATTTTGCAATGCTGCGATACGATTTGAATTTTTCATAATATTTTTGCGATTTTGTGGTATATACATAAATAGTACTCTCTGAATCAAAGCTGGATATTAAGATCTCCGATCATGATGTAAAACGACATATCACCTAACATTAAGGAGTTGTCTAACGGTGGAGTCAGACTTTTAATAATTCAGAAATCTCAGATTTTATTATTTTTCACACTCCCTAAAGACTAGCCACCTTTGTTCTTTTAGAGATATATTTTAACTAACTCAAGATAAAGTGATCGATCGCTGAACTCAAGAGAGCAATTAATTCAAGATTAGATATCCTATTAAAAAAAGAAAAAAAGAAAAGTAAAAAGGCATATCACATCAAAAAATCTCACTTGATTCGAGAGTCTAGCTCATGGTGCTATTCTCGAAAACAGGTCTATAATTTAACTCATCGGTCATCTAAGGTGGGCTTAATTATAATGTTTGGGTTGAAGTTTGATTTAGTTTAAATAAATAAAAAAACTCTTCAACACTCATCCATAAATAACATAGTTTTCTATATCCCCACTCTTCAACGCTCATCCATAAAGTAAAAGAGCTAGACGTAGTATAGTTTAGAGAGAGGTTCCATATCAGTACAAATCTCCAAACGTCTCTAATAATACACTCTATTTTCACGAGCATATTTTTTAAATAGAAAGTATCTTCAATGAAAGTTTCAAATAGCTAGAGACTAAAATATTTTAGATAACTCCAATAAGCTCTCTGCTCGAATCTATATCAGTACCAAAATTTTATATGCATTCTTCATTAAATATTTTTGACTTTTCATTCACTAAAAATAGAGTAGAGAGTGGACTAAGCTCTCCAAATTTAGGGAGCCAAAATAGGTTATGCATTTTTGTTAGTTTAAACGAAGGGGGTTTATCGGAGTTTAATTTTTAATAGTTTGCTCTTTAAATTATCGGAGATACTGTCCGTGATTGGTACGAATAAGTAAAAGAGATAATGGTTGCTTGCAACATAAGTAATGAAGACCCAAATGCTAAAATTTTGGTACGTAGTTGATTAAAAGAAAAAATAAAATTTGATTATTTTGATACAATTTTTTTTTTCTGGTACTGAAAAATAATTTTTAATAAATAATTCTTTGATTTTATTTATTTATTATCATTGATCACATAAAACATTGTACAATAATAAAACTATGGTAGAAGAGAATAAATTTTTGGTGGCATATTACTACCATCCATGCAATACCTGACAATAGGTTATTGAGAAATTCCCTGCAAATGCAAGGTCAGTTTGACTGGACATCGCTTATATAAGCAACCAAGATGGATTAGCTTCATAACCAAAGAAAACATCGAAGGAAGAATACTAATTTTTTTGCTCATTTTTATGGCAGCAACTTCCCATGCATTGTCACCTCCCGGCCAATTTCCGGTGCAGCTGGTCACCGGATCACCGTCATTGACTGCCTAAGCTGGCGTTTTGGTGTAGAAACTAACATTGTAAAGACTATGTTGGTCACTACATTCTTGGGAAACAGAACCGTGAAGATTGCGATGTTGTGGCAAAGGCTGCTCTGGAGTACGCCAAAAGCCTCAAGCTCGCCGGAGATGGTAAGGACGTTTGAGTCTTTGACATTGACGAGACTGCACTCTCAATTCTACCTTACCATGCTCGGTCTGATGTTGCATTCGGGTAAGAGCCATCAGTTCATATTGTGTTGATCATGAAGATTCTTAGTTTCATACTTTCAATTTCTTCATTTTTACTCATCCGTGTGATGTTAATCTCGTGCACTTGACTATTTTTTTTTATCTTCATCCTTATTTATTATCATTTTTTTTTTGTGATTTTAGGGCGATAAAATATAACTCAACAAAGTTCAAAGAGTGGTTAGCTAAAGGAATAGCACCACCGGTGCTGGCGGTTCTGAAACTATACAAAAAATTGTTGTCTATGGGGTTTAAGATTGTCTTCCTTTCCGGATCAACCGAGAGACTTACAGAAGTGAGAATTTCTAATTTGAAAAGATCTGGTTATCAAAGTTGGGAGATGCTCATACTAAATTAAGCATTTTTCTATTTCAGTTCTTATACACAAAGATCAGAAATGCCAATATATACANTTTTTTTTTGTTTAACAGTCAGGAGCATTTGGGTCAACTTATATACACCTCTATTAATCTCCTCTTATGTTTGATTAAAGACAGACCATCAACGCTAGAATTAGAGTATTTGCGAGGGATAAATCTCTTATGGTCCGGCCCAAAGAGATTGCCAAAATTCGTACTCAAGACGTCTAGGTTTACAGCTCACCCTTGTTACCACTTGAACTACCCCTTGAGATCCTCATGCCACATTTTACTGCTTTTCAATCATTGTACAAAATTCGAAATTGAATTTGAAAATTACTAACTAAATTTAACAAAAAGTTACCTAAGATTAATTGGATCTGAGTTAATATAGGTTGGTCCTCAGAACTTATGTGCTCTTTTGCTTCGTAGAGAGATGAGGGAGAGACATATAGTGATTGGTAAAGGATGAGGAAAAATGGTGGAGTGTCATGGGCGTATTAAGGAAGAAGAGAAGATGTGAGGANGTACTACAGCACAGGTGTACAAATCCAATAAACGCAAAGAACTTGTAAAAGTGGGATACAGAATACTTGGAAACATAGGAGACCAGTGGAGTGATCTACTTGGGACCAACATTGGTAGTCGGACTTTCAAGTTGCCTGACCCGATGTACTACANTTCTATGCCTCCACAAAGTCCTATTTTTGACTTGCACATTGGTTTGACTAACTTGTTCTTGTTCAAAAATAGTCACCTACTTATGAGATAAAAAAATAGTCCGTTGGGTTAAACTATGGGAGTTCTTTTGATATGTATATTAAAAAGGGAGTTTTAGGATAAATTATACTTCGACTTTCTATCACATTGCACACAGTACCTCCAACTATAGTTTTTAGTTTCATATAATACGGTTAACAATGAGAGGTTTTCCACATTGCAGCAACTAAGTTTATTAGTTTTGCACTGCCTGAATTATACTTGAACGTCTAACAATTATGTGTTTTATATTGTACCTCCAGCATGGTTTTTCAGGCTCATATTGTCCCCTCACCTATAAGATTTCTGAAATTGCACCGACTATAGCTAATAATTTCTCACTACTCCTAATTACACCCCAAATGTGTAGACTTTGAAAACGTATCTTTTACTACACAAATGAACATTTTTATCCAAAACATAATACATGGTTTGGGGTAATGTCAAAACAGTTCAGATAGTTGATTGTGTAATACTAAAAAATTCAATAATTAGGGGATGAAAGTGCAAGTTGTCCATAGCTCTATTTTCTTTAGCATCTCTCCCTTCGAGAATTTGCTTGTTTGAGCACCAAAAAAAAAAAGAATTTGCTTGTTTTTCCCGGTACGGTTTTTAACTTCATTATAACATCTCTCTTTTTTTTTTTTCATAGAATTGTCTATTCAAAATACATTTACAGTTGATCCTTCAAAAATAAAATTTCACAAAAATTGTCAACTACTCGTTTTGGTTTTACGTCCTTGATAAAGATGAGACAATGATGATGGTGGTTGCAGGAAAGACTCTGAATCGGGTACTACAGCACAGGTGTACAAATCCAATAAACGCAAAGAACTTGTAAAAGTGGGATACAGAATACTTGGAAACATAGGAGACCAGTGGAGTGATCTACTTGGGACCAACATTGGTAGTCGGACTTTCAAGTTGCCTGACCCGATGTACTACATTAGTTGAATGTTTTCACATTAAGATTGTAAGAATAAAAATGTATGACAGAACTGCTCACAGTGATTTTGGAAACAAATGAGTGTTTCAAATCAGCATTTATGATTGTTTTTCCTGTACCATGCAATTCCTTTTTCCATGTATTTTTGCTTTCAGCTGTAATAAGCCCGTATGGCTATGTCTTCTTAATCAATTCACTGAGGAAACTTGTGCTAAAGTATAATTGGACAATTTTATTCTGAGCAATGCCATTGATATCTAATAATCTAAATGTATTCCTTGGCCCAATCTAATAATATTAGTATAAGTACAATTGCCTAGCTAGAAGTTAGAACCGATGCTATGCGGAACCTTTCACCATCTAATGCTTTTTACTAAGGCTGAAAACAAGAAGTGGTTGAAACCCATAACTTCAGGTAAGCTTCTTTTAATATATAAATGATTTCCGATGTCAAAAATAGGGCATTCTAAAGATCATATGACCTATTTGATGAGTTAGATTGGATGATCAACATTAATAAACCTCACTCAAATGCCAACATTTTTTTTTTGGTCAGAAAATGCCCACAGTATGAGACTTCTGGAATGAAGATATTTGATCCCACATCCTAATTGGTGTCTCTAATGTCATATTTTTTTTTGTTTAACAGTCAGGAGCATTTGGGTCAACTTATATACACCTCTATTAATCTCCTCTTATGTTTGATTAAAGACAGACCATCAACGCTAGAATTAGAGTATTTGCGAGGGATAAATCTCTTATGGTCCGGCCCAAAGAGATTGCCAAAATTCGTACTCAAGACGTCTAGGTTTACAGCTCACCCTTGTTACCACTTGAACTACCCCTTGAGATCCTCATGCCACATTTTACTGCTTTTCAATCATTGTACAAAATTCGAAATTGAATTTGAAAATTACTAACTAAATTTAACAAAAAGTTACCTAAGATTAATTGGATCTGAGTTAATATAGGTTGGTCCTCAGAACTTATGTGCTCTTTTGCTTCGTAGAGAGATGAGGGAGAGACATATAGTGATTGGTAAAGGATGAGGAAAAATGGTGGAGTGTCATGGGCGTATTAAGGAAGAAGAGAAGATGTGAGGAAAGAAGACAAGAGAGATCCCAGCAGAGCAAGATGTGAGCAGTAAGAGCCGATAATCAGGAAGGGAAATAACAGAACAGGTTTTTTTTATTTTTCTATTTTTTTTGTGAATGGATTTGGCGTACCTAATGTGGGAATGAAATGAGAAATACTATGGTCAATTTGGTAATGCTTAATCCCATCATTTATGGAATTCTAAATTCCTACCAACCAAACATAAGAATAAACATTAATTACCGAGGAATGCCTATTTCATTCCAAAGACTTAATCCTGTGTAACAAATGCAATCACAACTATTACATGCCACGATAAAAGGGTTATCACGAGTATTGCATGCAAAGATGAAACGGATATGGTACCGAAAATTAATTCATATCATTGACTTTGATTTATATAATTTGTAACAATTGATAAAAATCTTAAAATTCCATAAATATTAAAATTTAAATATCGGAGATACCCTCAATGGTTGGTGGAAATTGTAAAAGAGATGGTGGTTGTTTGCAACATAAGTAAAATGGTGACAGCGATAAATTATAAATTTAGACGTCACGAAGTTGAATTTTAGCAATCCCTTGGATTAGACCATGAGAGATAAATTTATCTCTCATAAATACCCTAGTCTCGCTTTTGATTGGATCAGAGACGGGATTAATCGACGTACGCATAAATTGGCCTGAACACCTCTAATCGTAGATTCAAAAAAAAAAAAGTAATGAAGACCAACTGCTAAAATCTTGGTTAGCGAATGAGTAAAATAATTTTTTTGATTATTTTGATACATAGATTTTTTTCTTGCAAATTGCAATACACGATAGTATTATGGTATTGAAAAATCATTTTTATTTTTTCTTGTTTTTATTTATTTATTACCACTGATCACATAAAAACATTGTACAATAATAAAAATATGGTAGGAGAGGATAAATTTTTGGTGGGATATTACTACCATCCATGCAATATATACCTGACAATAGGTTATTGAGTAATTCATTGCAAATGCAAGGTCAGTTTGACAGGACAACGCTTATTTAAGCAACCAGGATGAATTAGCTTCATCACCAAAGATAACATGGAAGGAAGAATACTAATTTTCTTTCTCATTTCTATGGCAGCAACTTCCCATGCAATGTTACCTCCCCGCCAAATTCATCTTCTTCGGCGAAATTCCGGTGCATCCGGTCACTGGATCTCGGGCATTGACTGCCTAAGCTGGCGTTTTGGTGTAGAAACTAACACCATCCAAGGATGGAGATTGGTCCCTGAAAATTGTAAAGACTATGTTGGTCACTACATGCTTGGGAAACAGTACCGTGAAGATTGCGATGTTGTGGCAAAGGCTGCTCTGGAGTACGCCAAAAGCCTCAAGCTCGCCGGAGATGGCAAGGACGTTTGGGTCTTGGACATTGACGAGACTGCACTCTCAAATCTACCTTACTATGCTCGGTCTGATGTTGCATTCGGGTAAGGGCCAACGGTTCATATTGTGTTAATCTTGAACATTCTTGGTGACTTAGTTTCATACTTTAAACTTCTTCATTTTTACTGACGCACGTGACATAAATCTCATACACTCGGCTATCCTTTTATCTTCATTGTTATATATTATCCTTTTTTTGTGATTTTAGGGCGACAAAATATAACTCGACAAAGTTCAAAGAGTGGCTTGCTGAAGGAATAGCACCACAAAAAATTGCTGTCTATGGGATTTAAGATTGTCTTTCTTTCTGGATCAACAGAAAGACTTACAGAAGTGAGAATTTCCAATTTGAAAAGATCTGGCTATCATACCTGGGAGAAGCTCATACTTAAGTAAGCATTTTTCTATTTCAGTTGGTAATTTGTATAAACAAAGGTTAGAAATGTCGATATTAGGTCAAGTGATAATTTCGAGAAACTATAAATTTAGACATATTGAGTTTAAACCTTAACAAATCTCTTGAAGCGAAGTTATAAGGAATTTCACCCTCGTTAATTCTTTAGTGCTGGTGTTGATGATTTGTTTTTGATCAGACTAGAGAGAGAATAAATTGAAAAATGCATAAACTGCCCAAACAACCCTGACAATTGAAAAAAAAGAAAAGAAATGTCGATATATACATCTGTCCACATTTAATTAGGTTAATTAGCAAACCACGGACAACTTGTACTCTTTTCTATGCCTCCAGAAAATCCCATTTTTGACTTGTACATCGGCTTGACTAGCTTATTCTTGTTCAAAAATAGTTACCTACTATTGAGATAAAGAATAGTCTGTTGGTTTGACCGGCTTTTTCTTCATTTTTTTTTTTTTGATTTATAAAATTATCAGTTCAAAATACATTTAAAGTTGAACCTTCAAAAATAATATTTTATGGAACTAAATTGTCAATTACTCGTTTTGGTTTTACATTCTTGACGATGGTGGTGGTTGCAGGCAAGACTCCGAAACAGGTACTACATCACTGGTGTACAAATCCAACAAACGCAAAGAGCTTGTAAAAACAGGATACAGAATACTTGGAAACATGGGAGACCAGTGGAGCGATCTACTTGGGAGCAACATTGGTAATCGAACTTTCAAGTTGCCCGACCCGATGTACTACATTAGTTGAATGTTTTCACATTAAGATTGTAAGAATAAAAATGTTTGACAGACAGTTCACAGTGCTTTTGGGAGAAAATGAATGTTTCAAACCAGCATTTGTGATCGTTTTTCCTGTACCATGCAAGTCCTTTGTCCATGTATTTTTGTTTGTTTTCANCCTTAACAAATCTCTTGAAGCGAAGTTATAAGGAATTTCACCCTCGTTAATTCTTTAGTGCTGGTGTTGATGATTTGTTTTTGATCAGACTAGAGAGAGAATAAATTGAAAAATGCATAAACTGCCCAAACAACCCTGACAATTGAAAAAAAAGAAAAGAAATGTCGATATATACATCTGTCCACATTTAATTAGGTTAATTAGCAAACCACGGACAACTTGTACTCTTTTCTATGCCTCCAGAAAATCCCATTTTTGACTTGTACATCGGCTTGACTAGCTTATTCTTGTTCAAAAATAGTTACCTACTATTGAGATAAAGAATAGTCTGTTGGTTTGACCGGCTTTTTCTTCATTTTTTTTTTTTTGATTTATAAAATTATCAGTTCAAAATACATTTAAAGTTGAACCTTCAAAAATAATATTTTATGGAACTAAATTGTCAATTACTCGTTTTGGTTTTACATTCTTGACGATGGTGGTGGTTGCAGGCAAGACTCCGAAACAGGTACTACATCACTGGTGTACAAATCCAACAAACGCAAAGAGCTTGTAAAAACAGGATACAGAATACTTGGAAACATGGGAGACCAGTGGAGCGATCTACTTGGGAGCAACATTGGTAATCGAACTTTCAAGTTGCCCGACCCGATGTACTACATTAGTTGAATGTTTTCACATTAAGATTGTAAGAATAAAAATGTTTGACAGACAGTTCACAGTGCTTTTGGGAGAAAATGAATGTTTCAAACCAGCATTTGTGATCGTTTTTCCTGTACCATGCAAGTCCTTTGTCCATGTATTTTTGTTTGTTTTCAAGCTGTAATAAGCCAATAGGAAAGTTGTGCTCAAGTTTATATAATTGGACAATTGTATTCTGAGTAATGTCATTAATATCTAATAATCTAAACGTATTTAAGAATTCATTTTTATTCATTAAGTTTGGTAGAGTTATTTGTAAATAGACAATGATCATGAAAACAATAAAATAAAGTCCAAGAATAATAAAGAGTCTTATATATCATTGAGGAAAAAATTATAATATAGAAGTATAGTTTTTTAGTGCTCTAATATTACCCCGTTCAAAAAAAAAAAAAAAAAAGGGTGCTATAATCATAGTTTTAAAACCTGGCCCAGTCCGGAGTTAACCAAATCGGGCGAGTTAACCAAACCGGACGGTTTAAAATTATTTTTATAAATATTAGTTTTTTGCACTTTTTGGGCATTTTGCTCTAAATCGATAGAGACCTCTGGTTGCCCTAAAACGATACAGACCAGAAGGTAGCAGCGACTGAGCACAACTCCACCAGCGACTGAGCACAGCCTCCACCAACGATGAGGTGAGTTCCCTCCCCCTTCTCTCTCTCTCTCTCTCTCTCTCTCTCTCTCTCTCTCTCTCTCTCTCTCGTTCAGTGACTGTAATCAGTCACTATATTGAAAAAATTTCTTTCTGGTGAAGATGATTCACTTTCTGGTTCTAGGTCTATCTCAGAATCATTGTTTTGTAGGTAAAAATACCAACTTTTCCCCTTCTTGAAGTGATAAAGCCTGAGACCACCTTCGTTGTCTTACTTTTGATTTTATTTTTTGTGGTCTTTAGATTACGCAGTTTGACTGATTTTATGTGTTTATTTTACAGGCCAAGTGTTATATATGAAATTATTGTTGTTGATCTTGAAGAATTTTTCCTCCTTGTTTTATTTTTTATTTTGTTATCATAGTCACTTGGCAATCAGTTTCTTTTTTTTTTGGCTTGTGTTTTTGAGTGTGTTTTTGGATTTTTTTGGATTATGTGCAAGTTTCTTTGAAGCCTAGGATTAACCCAACTGATATATAACTGAATGTGTTGATTTTGCACTTTGAATGGTTGTCCATTTGATGTTTTTATTATCTTGGTACTACCAAAAAAAAATAAAATTAGAATATGAGTTATGATGTAATTTTGATAATTTTATGAGTTGTGATGCAATATGATTTGCAGAATTTTGATTTAAGTGTTTAATTATTTTACTAATTGTGATGCAATTTGATTTACAGAAGCAATTTTAATTTAATTGATAATAGAGGTAATATTTGTATTTTCAAGTGGAACTAAGCAATAGTTGAATAATTTATTTTCAGTTTTGTTTGTTTGAGTTCTTATGTTATGCTCATGTGTTTCGCTTTGTTTTCATGTGTCTTGCTTCCTATAGTTTGAGTTTGAACAGTACAAATTACATGGATTATGCTTAAATTGATGCAATATCGAAGAATTGGACTTAGACTTGGAGCCTTGAATTTCAATAAATGTATTTTTTTCTACTTAACTTTACAAGTTGTATTGAAAATTAAATACATTGAAATTAGATATATGTTTGATGATTTTTCTCTACTTAACTTTACATGCTTGATGTTATTTTTATAATTATTGTGATTTTTTAGCCTATTTATTAGTATTTATAATTATTTTTTAATTTTTTATTATATTACCGGTCCGATCAGTGACCCAACTGTTGAACCAGTGACCCATTAAACCGGTCCTTTACTGGGTTGCCATCTGGGTCGGGTTTTAAAACTATGGCCGTAATGCCACCCAAGGTGTTATATGGGGCAAATATTTGGTTGTACAGTGCAGCAACATAAATTTTTGAGCAATGTTACATGAATTTAAAAAATAGACTTAAAAAGTAGACTTTATAATCTTAACCATTAATTTTACTGTGGGTTCCAACATTTATTAGGACCCACTATTTATTCAATGATTGAAATTATCAAGTTTAATTTTTAAGTTTATCTAACATTACTTTAAATTTATATCCCATTCCTTAGGTTTGCTCCAAATTTCAGTAGCCTCTCTTTTTCCCTTGAAGCAGTAAATGTCAGCCTTTGATTAGTATAAAGGGGAAAGCAAGCTGGTTTGTATTAGAAATTTCTTACCACGACCCACCACCACCTTTCGACTCCCCAAAACCTACTTGCTTGCCCCCACCCACTAGTCCCAATTAGGTCTGTCAATAAATTAGGCTCAAATTGGATTTTAATTAATCTCACTTTAATCGTTGATATCGTCAAATTTAAATTCATGAAATATAATTTATTATGTTTGGCGATAATCGACATAAAATATCAATACATATTGGATTAATAAGATTTAAATTCCCAAATCCCCAACCCCCCTATTTGGATCCCTGAAATTCTGTCACACTGACACATTTTTCTACAATCCACTCCATTAGACCACACTCTGAGAAATCATCAAAGCCAACCATAACCATAACAAACCACCACTCACCAACAATGCATAATCTACTCCACCACAACTCACCTGATTTTCCAGATGAACGAACTCAAGTCAAGTTCAAAACGAGTTAAATTTGAGACAAGTCTAAATAGTTCTAATCGTTTTACAACCCTACCTTCACTAAATCAATCACCTCCATCAAATCATCAGTCACCACTAAATCCAAAGACAACCATTGTCACAATAAACGCTACACCCAAAAGCACATATAAAGGGAAGTATCTGGATGAGGAGGTGGACGGGATGGACTTTGGGGAGGGGGGCGTTAAGAAGAAATAAAGGGATGGAGATATATTTTGGGTTATAGGCCAACACATTAACTAACCCAAAATTCGGCCCAATAATCAGCCCAACAAAATCAGTTAAAACCTGGCCCAAGAGCTTGTCCGACAAGCCGCCCCGCCCGCCCGCCTTCCCAATCTTCTTCTGAAAAAAAATTATACTTTTTAAATCATTAAATTTGAAATTTTTAAATAAGTCTTCTTACATTGGAATTTAAAATTTTAAAAATTTATATATTATAAATAATATATTATTTTATTTTTTATGTATTAAGCATACAAGTTTTAAAAGGTAGTGTAATACAAATGATAGATAAGTGAGTAGCTGTCAACCTAATTGAGATGTATTCAAACTAGTTCATCCCTAATCAAAAATAAAATTATTTATTATTTTATTTTTATCTATTTTGACTTAATTTTTGATTTAAATATATAATTTATATAAATATTAAATTATAAAAAGCCCGGGAGCAGACCTGTCCAACAAGTCTACCCAAAAGGTCTGCACACAGACTCCCTTAATGGACCCGCGAGTTGAGTTGCGATAGTCTATCCCTACCAGATAATTCACTTAGATAAAAATTTGGGTCTATACTAGCTAGTCCCGAAAATATTTCGCAAGTCTAGACGGACTCGGCCCATGGACACCCTTATTCGGGTCCTTGACGGAAATATCATATCGGGTCACACCGAGTTCAACCCGAATAAAACAGCAAACCGATTAGAACATAATCCGAACCCCCGCCGCATCTCTCTCTCCCGTCGGCGGAAACAAATCTCCGGCCAAGCAATCACACTGCCGCACCCTCTCATCGTTTTCATCTCCCATTCTCCCTCTCCGTCGCTGGCGCTCACAGGCCTCAGTCGAAGACTCAGAGTTGATACTTCATTTAGCCCTAACCAGTCTCCTCCGACTTGAAAACCATAATCATCTGCTTGGACAACGCTTTTGGTTAGATTCGGTGTTTTGATTTTTTTTTGAATTCCTCAGCTTTTGGGTGCGTAGATGTTCACTGCAGCAAGTGTTGTAATGGGGATCAAGGTGACTCTATAATGTACTGGATCGTAACCTTGTTTAATTGATTTGCTATTCTTCGATTATCTAGGGTTAATATTACTTCATTTTTTCTATTTTTTTTTTCATAAGGTTTTGTTTGTTTCTACATTGTTTTTATGTCCAGTCATCCTCAAGAATCTACGCGAACCTTACCCTCACCCCTACAGTGTCCCAAGTTCCCTAATTGACATGGATTAAGGATCCAAATTGAACTCGCGAAATCGATAATTCCAGTTCGCCCATCATAGAATCAATGTTTGAGAATTCAATGCGAGGCTGGTTTTGATTGCTGATCTGCACTTGAATCGTTGGAGCTCTCGCGTGTCATGTGACGGTGTGTATAACAAAGAAGAATCGACAACTTGGTCTAATACAGGGAACAGAGTCTCTGCTGATGGCCTTTAGAGGGCGGGGACGTGGGCGTGGATATGGGGGTGGTGGTGGCTTTCGAGTTGCTAAGCAGGAGCCGTTCATACTCTTCCCGGTAACTTACCAGACCATCACCTTTTTGTGTATTTTTTTTTATGTAGTTATATATATTCACACTTAAAATAATGAACTCACATTCCACTACTTCTGCTCATATATTTGCAGTACAAACGTCCCAAACGTATTCCCCGAGATGAACTGAATTTATAGTGTATGCTATAAAGAAACTTTACAATTAAGATGAGTTCTTGTAATTGCATTATATGAAATTGAATGGTGTTCTAATTAAGCTCCAGATAACCTTAAATCCTAAGTACTTTTCACCCCTTTTTTCTTATTTTGATTTTTATTTAGAGCCATCAAGTTGCATACCCTCCACAAATTGTTGGCCGTAATTAAAAATAAAACAGCCAGTGTAAAGTAACAAACCCCAAGTTATTAGTACAAGGTTTTAGATTTGTTGAGTAGTCTTTTAATAGCACCTTGACTCACAATTTATTTTTGTCATTGATCATGCCCTTGTTTCATTGTTGAGTTGTTCCTGTTTCTTATTTTCCCTTTAAAATCCCAAGCTGGATGAATTTGTTCCTCCCCCACCCTACTACACTGATAGACACATCAAGGTTTTAGTGGAAACATATGTTAATAACCAATCAAAATTTTGGGAGACTGCCTTTACAGCATGGAATCTCTCTCACTTGACATTGTATATAGATTATGAAAATTGAAGAGTGTATGCCAAATGCTTCTTTGTAGTTCTGTACTGTTTGTATTCTTAATGAGTAAAGCAAGTCAGTGTCAGCCTTGTTGCTTGTTTTTTCTTCTTTTGGCCAACTTCTGAAACATACCTCAACCATGTTGCTTGTTTTTTTTGGGGCCAAATTCTGAAAGGCCTATCATTACAGCTTTTGTTTATTGAACTATACTAGTTTCTAGTAGGGAATAATTCAGACATTTGGCAAATCAAATAGGTTTAACCAATCACAGTTTGAATGATTGTCATTTTTTCTTCTTTATAGATGTTTGTTTCAGGTTCAGCAAACCAAGGCTTAAAGGATTGTTATTTATTTTCTTCATAGATGTTTGTGATTTAATTTTATTGGAGCTATAGTTTTATTATAAACTCTATGTGGTTAATGGTTTTCTTGGTATGGTTGTCTCCATAATTGCAGGATATTTCTGAAAATCTCACCGATGCCAAAACTGTGAATGAAGAAGTGAACTTAGCCATCTATGGTTCGAGGTTGCAGAAATTTTGGAATTCCCTTTATTATTTCGACGAAGAAAAGACAGAGAGTAAGTATCCATAGTTTTAATGTTCATTTTCTTTTTATGGGAATGGGCATATGGCCTTTGGTAGGTTGGTTAAATGACATGGTTTTGATAGTCAGAAGATGATATGATGTGTAATTCTAGTGAAGGAACTATCTCCCATTAGCTTATAAGTGACGGCCTCTAACAACAGTGAATTTTGTCAAGTGGTTTGAAAAATATGAAATCCTGACTTGCACTTTGAGTGAATCTTGTCAACCTATGAGAAGAATCGAGATTCTTTCCCCATTGAAAGATTTCACAATGATTTCTATTTTGTTCTGTGTATGGTTTGAAAGCAAGCTCCTTCAAGTGAAACTTGATTTGGGTTACGTTCTGATATTTATAGTTTAAATAAGTTTACAGTGCCATATTAAGAGTTGCTTACTGCCTGAAGTCCATGAAACAAAAGAAACCCAAAACTGGTGAAAATGAGAACCATTTAGTCTTTATATTTGTATTTGGTTTTGATTTAATACCTACCCACTTGCTGTGTCTTTCATAATTGATTAATTCTACCTTAGATATAATTGCTGGCAAGAGTTCTTACATTTGGTTGAGAGTAAGTCCTGCTAAGGAACAACCGCTGTTATGCCGAAACTATGGTGGAACTCTTGTTCCTTTCACCATCTAATGCTTTACTAAGGCTGAAAACAAGAAGTCATTGAAAAGAATCCATAACTTCAGGTAAGCTTCTTTTAAAATCTTCTTGTTTGCTAAGATCTTAACTATACTTTCTCCTACACATATTCCAAGTTAATCCCAAAAAACCCCCTTGTAGTGCCTTTGAACAATGAATAGGTGTAAGCTTCATACGAGTTGCACCGCTATAGCAAACCTTTTCAGTGGCAATTCTAAATGCAAACAATAGAATTTATACAAAGAGTACATTGGCTGTTAACGAATACAGCCGTTGGAGGTCTTCTGAGGAATGAAGCTGGGAGGGTTGAAAGAAGTCGTAGGCAATCTGGGGAACCCTTAAGTTTGACACCTGAAATCTTGCCCATTAGAAGGGACTTCCCTCTGGAAGCATTGACTTCTTTTGAAAGCTCTGACAGCACAAGTTCAGATACTTGTCACTGACTTAACATAAGGAGAGATTTGCAGTGCATATATTTTACTTCTTGAAGCCCCATACAAGGGGTTTATATGGTACTCTATTTTTTTTCCACAATCCATTTGTTAATTATCTTCTAGCTATACCAATCACTTTTTTCCTTGAAATTTTTATATAGATTTCGGTTGGAGTACGGATACTATATGCTCACATGTCAATTCACACTTGCAGGATGTCAATTAGTAGAGAAATAAAATATATCTGCTAATCCCTACAGCTGATTAGTGCAGTTGTTTGATTAGACGTGTTGTATTCTCAATACTTACTTTTCCAGTGTTTCAGTGTGTTTTTTTTTCAATTTATCGCCTAGCATCACTGTATTGATGATCTTTATATTTCCGCTACTATAGCTTTAAGACTCTTATTTGCATGATTCTAATTAATTAGGGCGTCTCAATCTTATCTGCATCCTTAATCTTGGTTGCAGAAGACCAAAGCTTTGACATAAAAAGGTTATCTGATCTAGGCAAGAGAAGAGGCAAACCAAAAAAGGAACTTCCAAATACTATTTTGCGTACTTCTGAATATGTCCCTGCAGAACTAGCTAGAGGTTTGCTATTGTTATAAGCTTATAAATGTTAGGGGGGATAGTATATTAGTATATTGGAGCAGTTTATATTCCATCACTGTTTTCTCTGACACCTGTGGACGCCTTTTCTGGTGATTAACAAAACAGTTTCAAAGCTGGAGCAGCGAGGCCAAAAGAAAGTACGATGGAATCCAGAGTCAGGTTTGATGATAACAGAATGTCTTGATTTCAATTACAACTAGTTTTGGCTGTGTCTTTTCAATTTTAATGGTTTTGCTTATTTAAACCATACTTCCTTCTTTGCTATTTTGTTATTGGCAATAATGGATTTCAACGTTATTCCATTGCTATTTCATCAAACTGATGGACATGTTATATGGCAGACATGCAGAGATTAGATATCTTCGAGAAACTTGAACAGAAACATCAGGTAAACAACTTTTCTGTATATTGTAGTTCTGTTACCCCTTTCTTTTGAATGATTGCGCTATTGAGAACAGCTCTACGTGAATGCAGTTTATTTATCTTTTTGTTTGCTTTCTATGCATTAGATTTTCAATTATTATATAATTTTTCCTTCCAATGCCTAGGGCCAAGTTGAGAAAGGTGGAAAGGAAGGTGATGAAGAGGAAGAGGATGATGAAAGAGTCGAAGATGAGGACGAAGAATTCAGTGATGACGGTGATTACAATCAGGTATACAAGGAAACTTTGGCTCTTACACCTCCATATTAAAATTCCACTTTGTTATTAGAAGATTTTCTTACCTATTTTTACATGTTCCGAGTACTATGCATTAAGAGTAGTCCTTTTCATTCTTTTTCAAAATAAATAGTAAGTACTTGCTTGAACATACATATATACAACTGATCCTCCCGTGCAGCATGGATCTTAGGGGGTGCACAGCGGGGTGGCTATCTCCCTGTCCTTTTAAAAAATCATGTAATCTAATTTATAACGAGGAAGTTATCCTCACACCATCAAATAGTTCATCTCCCCAAACATTTTTCTGTTCCCAAGTTTCCCACTAAATGCCTTGTGGTCTCACAGCTCCTCCAATAGAAATCAATATGAGAGCCTTCTTTCATAGAGAAGCTCTCTGTTGTTGGACACATCACGCCTAACTATCTCCACCCTTGTAATTAATAACAATTTTCTGCAGTTTTTTTATCCAAACACACTGGACTGAAGGTAACTCCTGCCAATTCGGTCTATCCCTTTATCAATCTGTTCTCCCACTTTCTCAATGTTTTTCAACTCTCTTTGGAGATCTCAATGAAATTTTGAAAATTCCCCAGAATTACAAGTTTTTTTTTTAAATCTTGTGTCATATCTTCCATATGCTGGTTCAAGGCCCCATTATTCTCCATTTTTCTTCTCAAATTTTCAAATGAGTGGCAGTGATGTAGGTTTGACTTCTGCATATATATTATAAAGGGTGGTCATATGTGCATCTGCATTGTTGTTGACAACCTTAAAAAGGGGGAGGGGGAACATTGGTCCAATTCTGTGAGTATGGATAGATTATATTTTAATTTATTGACTTGTTTGCAAATGGCAGATCGTAATTGGTTTTTTAAAGTTATATCTTTATGCCTAATCATCCATCCATTTTATGAACTTTCTGCTAAAATCCTCTCCAGTAATACAGCATGAGAATCTATACCATTACTTGGTCATTATGACACGATTAATGATGGTTGGGAACTTCGATTGGACATATTATTCTTGCAAATCATCCTAAACCTATGTTATGTTAATTTTGTCCACTAACAAAAATTGTTACATATCTGTTGAAAGTAACTGTAATTGGAACTCTCAATAATCTTTCAGAACATTGATTTTGATGATGATGAAGACGACTTCAACATGAATGATGACAACGACGGTATACATTCTCTCTTCCTCAATACTTTCTTTTTGCAATTTCAATTAAAAATTTCTGTTGTGCTTCCTGTGCTATATCATGCTTGCTTATTCAGTTTGTCCATTGACTAATTGTTCATAACTCGTGCAATTTTGCAGATGAACCTATCTATTAGTGCTGGTTATGGTATTTTTTTCCTGCTTTCTCAACTTGGAAGCATTCAATTTTGATTTATATAAATACACTAGGTATAGGAGCTTCCTTAGAGATCAGAGGGCACCATCTTCAAGTGTTTGTTTTTGAACAGCATGGGAAGAAAGTAATGGCAAGGAGAGAGAACGGCATGATGGTTGCCTGCTTACATGTTTTGTTTCTGTTACCCTGGGCGTTTGGATTCTGTATCGCTCCTAAATATTTTTCAAGATAATACTAAAATTAATTATTAAAAAAATAAGACTATTGTTACAATTTAATTTTGTGGAATTATTATGAAATAGAATTGTTTGGAATTAAATTTAAAATGTTAAAATTGATCTTATGACATTTGTTGTAACTTGATTGTCTTGAGCATTAATGTTTTGTAAATAATTTATATTATCCATAATTTTCTGTATCCATCGGTGTTGTATCTCTTTTGATACCATAGTCGTACCATTATACCATAGATAAATATTACAACAGTAGATTAGATTATTGAATTCAATTTAAATAAAATTATTTATTTTAATAATTATTAAATAAAAAATAATCGTGATGCTGTGAACAATTTGACATCCAATCCTTCTCCCACTGCTTACGTGTGAGTGAAAAACTATTCTTATGCGTTGAAGGTGGTAATTCTACCACCAGTACAATGTTGTTCTAATTGAAAATTATTAATTTTATATTTATATCAACTGAAATGAATTTTTAAATTAATGTTTTGTTTGGTAGGAGGGATGAAAAATTGGAAGGATAAAAAAGTTTAAGGAATATTTTCATCCTTAAAAGATAAAAGAAAGAAAAATACTATCGATTGTGATCATAATTCCAAAGTGCCACGTGTTCAGAGAGGCATACAAAACTCAGATCCAAGAAGCCTGCACAAAGAAAGGACAGCGCATGGAACGTGAACGGCACTCATTCAATCACGTCAAATGGACGGCAGAAGATGGAAGATTCGAGTCCCCACACCCACCATGACGGGCCCACCCCCAAAGCCCAAATTTTAAATCAATCCATTTAAGAAAGTTTCCAGACAATCTATTTATGCCCGCAGTGCACTGACACCGACAAACGTGATCACCATACACAGACGCATAGAACAAGAAGAAGGTAAAGGAGGAGAAAGATCGAAAATGTCGTGGCAAGCATACGTGGACGATCACTTGATGTGCGACATCGAAGGTAACCATCTCACCGCTGCTGCAATCGTCGGCCACGACGGCGGCGTCTGGGCCCAAAGCGCTTCATTCCCCCAGGTTTCCATCTTTCTTTTCTCCCTTGTGATCTCTCTCTAAAGGTATTGTTTGTATTTGATTGTTTATATAGATAGCTCTGTACATGTTTCTATCCACATTTACCGCATTGTTCTTTATGGATCTGTTTGGAGAGTAAATGTTGAATACGACACTCGTCATTTCTTTTTGTGTTAATTGATTTCCTGAAGATTTGTGGATGTTTCGAATGGATCTGTATGTTAGTAATTCATTTTATCTTTCGATGAACGTATTATAGGATTTGAGATTGAATTTTGAGGTGATTAAGAGAATTGCATTGATAGCAGCTCATTACCATAATTCAACCAAGAGAAAACTGATTTTTAATCTCTTATTATCGGTTCAGATTTCTCTAATAGTAAGTAGCACCAACCCATGCAATGCCATCTTAGGTTCTTGAGTTCCATTGCTTGGTCTATTTTGTTTTGTATTCACATTTCCTATGTGTAATAATGACTTTATTCGTGATGTTGGTATTAGTATGGTTTGACCATTAATATTGCAGTGCATTTGCCTGTCTATGTGCAGTTTAAACCTGAAGAGATCAATGGTATCATGAAAGATTTTGATGAACCGGGCTTTCTTGCTCCAACTGGGTTGTACCTGGGGGGTACAAAGTACATGGTAATCCAAGGGGAGCCCAATGCCGTGATCCGTGGCAAGAAGGTGTTTTCATCTCTTTCCTGTTCAAATTTTTTTTTAATGATTAATGGTTTCTTATCCTTCCAATCAAGATTAAATGTACATTGTGTTCTCATCTTTACTATAATCTACCTGTATCACTATCTAACTAGCAAGTGTGGCTTAATTCCCGTATGACACATTGAGTTTTCACTGCATTTCCCTTTTAATTTCATCACTTGGACACATTTTCTACCTGTAATTTCTGTATTGTATATTTGGTAATTATTCCTGATCTTTGTTTTCTTTTCCTTTTAAACCCCGTGTATTTCGGAATTATACCACTGTTCTAATCTATGTCCCCTTTGAAGTGGTCCCTTCTGCATTAGACAGTTGTTCTTTGTGTTTCCTTGTGTTCCCCACCATTACCTTCATGCATTCAATTTTCCTTCTTTATGAGGTATACGATGGTATTTCATCAACATGCCATGGAATTGACGTCTTTGGCACATAATTGTATCAGTCACCATATTTGATCTATTTCTATTTTTATTGCCCACAACATCAATTGGAACGTCTCTATGTTTGGCTCATTTGCTTAATGAAAACGAGCAATTATTCACACAGCACGGATTATAAAGTATAAACCAACAGTAAAGAACCCTAATGCTGAGCATTCAAACATGGTAACAATAGTAAGCCTCTGTGAACTCTTCTGAGGGGTCCACCTTACTCATACACAAGGAGGGTTGATTGCTATGCTTTTTTTTGCTTTTTTAGATCTCATGATTAAAATGTTGTTGCTGAATAGCTGTTCCTTTAGTACCATGAATGATATCCACCATGTTCCTTCACGCACAGTGTCCCTTGGCTGCTTTTCCTTTGTATTTTGATGATCCTAGCCAGATTCAAGGTAAAGTTCTTATTTAATTTGTGAGATAACGATATTTTCAAGGCACAGCCTCCAGGCAGTATCCGAGGTAGAGGAAAGAGAAAAAATCAGATATTTCCAAAGCAGAAAATCCTACATATTTTAATATAAACCTCACGGAGAATTTTACTGTTGAACTATGTGAACATGGAACTTCTCATTATTCGCCGAAGCTTACTCTTAAATTTAAATTTAGGGATCATTCATCCAGTAGCATCCCATTGGTAAGTTGTCCTTTTGTATGATATTGAATGCATCTAGTCCAAAGCTGACGAGCTAATGCAGGATAAATAGGCATAACATGAAGTTTTTCATTTTTTGCTGTCTATGATATTGATTTTTATTTTTCAGGGTTCTGGTGGTGTAACTATAAAGAAAACCAGCCAAGCTCTGATTTTTGGTATCTACGATGAACCTGTGACACCAGGACAATGTAACATGGTTGTTGAGAGGATGGGAGACTACCTTATTGATCAGGGCCTGTAGCTGTCGAAGTTTGTGATTTGCATATGCTTAATGCGGGTTTTGTGATTGTGCCTTGGACCACATAACAGTTGTTTTTGGGTGCTATTCCTTCCAAGTTATTATAATTTTGGTGTACTTAATATTCATACTGCTTTGCCGCAATTGAGCCTGGATGTGGTGAGGTTTGATTGTCATTGTCTCGAAATCTCTTCATTATATGAAAATTTTATTTTTAGTTTTACATTCTAATAAACCCAGCTGAAGTCTTTTTGAGGTTGATTTAAACGATGATATTGAATGTTGAAACATCATCTTTCTGTCTTACAATTGACATTAGCGTGGATGAACTTTGGCCATGACTTCCATAGGTTGTTGACAATCTGCTTGTTAATCCACCTGTTGAAGAATGGTTCCTCTCTCCACGACGGAACCACCCCCCACCCCATCTCCCCCGCTAAACCACTCCCGGGAAGAAAAAAAAATCCGAGTTTCTTATTTTCCTACAACTTGGTTTCGTCTCTAATCTTTGGGAAGCAGTGAGAATTAGTTGATGAAATTACAGCTGGCCTAGGTGTGTGGCAGTGTTAAGGTTTGTCCAGCTGACGGTACTTAAGAGTGTTAATCGAGTTGAGTTTTTGCAAGCTTGCGTCTAAGCTCGAATCTGTCAAGTTCGATTTTTTAAATGAGACTAAAAAATCGTTCAAGTTTGACTTGTTGAAAATGAGCTGAGTCAGGATTGAATCGGAGTAGTTCGACTATTTTAAATATAAATTAGTTGAGTTTTTTAGGCTTGTTCAAAAAAATAAGTCTAAAAAAATGTTCAAATTCAGCACATTTAAAATACAAGTTGAGCCCGAGCCTGAGTAAATTGTCTCCCCTAACAGTATTTATGATGACTCCCTTCCGGCACAAAATTTGTAACTGAAAACCCAAATGCTGTAATTGGACCTTAACCTCTGAACGGGGCTTAGGTGAAAGCCCAACCCCCGTTAATGTGAAGGGCTTCCTTCCTGGTAATCAAGAAGAAGAAGCTGAGATCCAGCTGTTGAGAAAGTTGATATTAGCTGACCTGTTCTAACGCGTAAACGGATGGTGGAGATTTCAAACACACATCATAGAAAAGTGCCTGGATTCCACCATTTGAAATCATGTTGATGGAATAGTTTTGTTAGGGTCCAACACGTTAGGCCCGGATAGACATTGACTTGTAAAAGGTTTTAAATGTGGGAAGGTTGTAGAATTCTCCCGTTATCTCTTTTTTTGTTTATTTTTTATTTATTTTAATTTTCACCGTAGGTGACACTCTTGCTTAATACCGTTAATATAGGATATTTACTTCCAGCACATGTGAAACTTATTGTCAAAAAAATAGTATGATAAGTCACTTTTGAAGATGTGATGTAAATTTTGTATAATATTATCCATTAGATTTGATCGAACAAATCTCTAACACTTGTAAAAATTTGATTAATGGCGGCCTATTTATGTATGCAATTGGTAGAATCGTATTCATGATTTGAAATACAAAATACATGGACCATGTATGTCTGTCAGCATCAATCACTAACCACTGAACTTTCCAAGCACTTACAGGTGTATATACATACCCACAATAGGGCCACGAAATTCTTCTTTTTCTTTGGTCGAAATTAAGGATTCGAGGACAACCAGGATGGAACCTTATTTATTTATCGTAGGACCCTATGAGGGAAGCCGGTGGTGGGGCCTACACCGTGGAAAATCATATACGCTCCCAAAGACTAACTCTAGTTATAGTCTGATCATGTAGCGATGAGTTTCTAGAGTCCAACCTTATTATATACAAATCGGACGGTTTCTAGAGTCCGATGAGTTTGACTGCCAACCCAGTATGTTCCCTGTTTGGGAACGTTGCAGGAGGGTTGAAATTGACCGGTGTACCCTTGCCTTGTAACAAGTATTTTGGTTTTCAAGAGGGTCTGAATAGTAAATACAGATAAAACTATTATTTATTTTTGTACATTATTGGTTTTCAGTAGGGGGTTCATCCTACCCTACGGGTAGAAAATATGTTATTCCGTCTTCTTACCCGATATTTTGCGGAAGAGTTTTTTCTTGGTCTACCCTACCCGACAGGTGTGGTATTCCTACCTGATTAATCGGGTAAAAAATCGGGTAAATACTTTTATAACAATTAATTTTTGGATCATTTTAACAATTTAATTAAATGACATGCATCAATTTAACAACACAATAAATCAGTTAACATTAAAATCTAAAACAACTACATCAAGAATTATAATAAAACACAAGAAAGTATGAACATCAATCCACCATAATTGTTACACAAATACCATAANTTCTTTTTCTTTGGTCGAAATTAAGGATTCGAGGACAACCAGGATGGAACCTTATTTATTTATCGTAGGACCCTATGAGGGAAGCCGGTGGTGGGGCCTACACCGTGGAAAATCATATACGCTCCCAAAGACTAACTCTAGTTATAGTCTGATCATGTAGCGATGAGTTTCTAGAGTCCAACCTTATTATATACAAATCGGACGGTTTCTAGAGTCCGATGAGTTTGACTGCCAACCCAGTATGTTCCCTGTTTGGGAACGTTGCAGGAGGGTTGAAATTGACCGGTGTACCCTTGCCTTGTAACAAGTATTTTGGTTTTCAAGAGGGTCTGAATAGTAAATACAGATAAAACTATTATTTATTTTTGTACATTATTGGTTTTCAGTAGGGGGTTCATCCTACCCTACGGGTAGAAAATATGTTATTCCGTCTTCTTACCCGATATTTTGCGGAAGAGTTTTTTCTTGGTCTACCCTACCCGACAGGTGTGGTATTCCTACCTGATTAATCGGGTAAAAAATCGGGTAAATACTTTTATAACAATTAATTTTTGGATCATTTTAACAATTTAATTAAATGACATGCATCAATTTAACAACACAATAAATCAGTTAACATTAAAATCTAAAACAACTACATCAAGAATTATAATAAAACACAAGAAAGTATGAACATCAATCCACCATAATTGTTACACAAATACCATAACAATTAATTTAAGTTTAAACTTTAAATCATATGAAATACATTAAAATCATAATTGCTCTGCTTGTGATTATGGTTTAGGGTTTTTTCAGTTTATATATATATTAAAAATTTATTACAGGTAGGGTAGGGTAGGAATACGAAAATGGATGATTATTCCGTATTCTTACCCGAAAATTGTCGGAAGACCAAAAACTCTTCCGTATTCTTGATTTTTGCAACTAACCGTTCAGTAAGATAGGGTAGGATATGAACTTGCGGCCGATCGAAAATTTAAACACCCTTAGTTTACAAGTGAACGGTGCTCGATCAGAATCGGCAAATGGTCAAGACTCATTTCTTCAACCTGATATCGAATTTTATTGTTTAGGCTTTCAAAATGTCATTTTTATCATTCTGGAAAAAAATTTATAAATTAATAATAAATTATAAAAAATTCAGAATTTTGCGTCGTTAGATTTGTTCTTGTTCTTGGATTTCAGACGGCACATTTTTTCTATTCATTAGAAAAATCATATATTTTTATTTTTAGTATTTGTTGTAATTTTTAGAGATTTTTTTTCCACGATTAAGGTTTTAATTGTTCTTATTTATATTATGAGTTGATCATTGAATAATATTATATTCTAAAATATTTCTCTATTTTCTTTATAGATTCAAAGCGATACATAAAGAATTAATGCTTTTTTGTGTTACTTATTCTCCCACCTCAATGAATTTACTGTACGCGAGCGAGAATCAAGAAAATTAAAAATAAAATATTTAAAAAATGAAAATCCGTGAAAGATAGGAAAACATTAAAGTATCCCAGTCCATGCCTCTCTTTGATGTTGGGCATAATCTAGAACACATTTTTAATAAATTGTGACAGGAGAGTTGGGTCCATATAAAATAAGTTGGATTTAGCCTGTTGGGGATGAGACGATGACTAGGATATGGATGGCTTTCAAGCCACACAGACAGAGCTTATCCTCTCCCATTTCAAAGTCAAGCAATTCGTACCCATGTATATGTGATAGATAACGTGGAATATATGTAAGGATAAGGCAACCCAAACCCAAAATCAAAATCAAAACCAAAACCAAAACCATACTACTCTATTATCAAAACAAGGGGTTCTACTAGGATCACAAACAACCTCATTGACTTAGTATGCTACTATGGTCAATGGTTCACATTTGGACTGTCCATTAAGACTATTTAAACCCCTAATTCATATGTTAATAATCTTTTTCTCTAGTAAATTTTTAGTTTAATAGTAATACCACGTTATTATTGACATATGTTATCGCTATCTAACTATAAACTGAATAATTAAATTATGATGGATGTAGTAATTGTATGGGAGTTCATTACACTGTAAATTCAATAAAGTTATTAAAGGATAATATAATTCAAGAATCTGATATAATACGTATAATAGAAGTTTATATGATCTAGAGCCAATCAAAGCTGGTTCTGAGCAACAGTGTCCAAAATTTTCAAAAGATGCAATTTCAAAAAAATTTCGACAATCTAATGTAACATGTATAATAGAAGACTATATGATAGGTTAAGACCGTTGAAAGCAATATTGATCGAGAGCTAATCAGAGTTGATTTTGGGTGAGTGTCAAAAAATTTCAATAAATTCCATTCCAAATAACTTTCGACAATATGAGTATGTTTGAAATTTCAATCAGTCGTTTTAAAGCTAAAAAATAAAGTTTAGGGTATTTTTTAGATATTTTTCTATTTTATCCCACTGTTTGTAGTATTTTCGTAATATTGTTTATTTGCTTAATTTTTTAATAATTTAGAACTATTAATGTTTCATATTTATATGATCTTGAAAACTGATTCATCAATTTGATTTTGATTTGAATAAAAATTTAAAAATGAGTTCTTTTTTCTTCTAATTGTTTTAGTATTTTGCAAAATCAACAAAATTATTGAAAACTCTAATATGATATTATTATGATAATCAATAAATTATAATTTTTATTATTTTATTTTATTTTTTCATTCAATCAACAATTCGGTTCATTGTAGAGTCTAGCGTGGATCAATGTACATAGGCAATCTTACCATTGGAAGTAAAGAAATTGTTTTTGCAATTAGCATTTATTGTACCCATAAAATGATTTATTAATGGAATTTCCTTATTTATAGACCAGATAAGAACTAGTTCTACGTGTCCCCTTTATCCCTTTGAAAGTCATGGAAATTTCATGTTGCTACCTGTAACCAACAATTCATTGTTCCAAAAGCAACGAACCTGATCCACTCATTGTTTTGATCCATGCCCATAAATATGCTCCCCAAGAATGGCCCCAAGCTCATCTTCACATGATCATATATAACAAAGTCACCCAAACCTGAAAGTGATAAGCCAGTTCCTTTTTCATTTTCTTCATCATCATCATAACCTTCTTGTTTTTCGTCAACTGAATCCATCAATGGGTGAAGGCAAAAGGGTTGTGTTTCAGAGTTCATATCAGAATGGTAATGGTAATAAAGAGGAAGAAGATAACTGGGAGATCATGGAAGGTGATGATAATTCTGATACGACCAACCACATGATCTCATCATTAAATTTCGCTATTGAAGATCCAACTACTTCAGATGAATCATCATCTTCACTGGATATGGCTGATGATGCATCTTCTTCATCTTCACCTTCATCTTCGTCATCTTCGCCTTCAAGTGGACCACTATATGACTTATCTGAGCTCATGACTCAATTACCCATCAAGTAAGTAAACTTTATTCACTTCCAGAAAATGATTGTTTATTGTCCAAAGTAGATGAAGGTTATGGTAAATATTGCATTGGTTCATGAAATCTAATACCATGAGGTCTTGTGGTGGGCAAGATTTTAACCTTTTAGCAGATTCATTATAGCGGATCCGACAAAATTTTATGGTGGCGGGCAGCTAGCTAACACAATCTTTTTTCTTTATCCTGACTTGGGACAGACAACGTTACTGAAAATTGAGTCTTGAGCATTTAGGTTTCCGTTAATTTTTGGAATTATTGGTTTCGTTGTAAATAATTAGGTACATCCAAAATAAAATGATATTCTGAAGCGTTCACTATACCCGTTGTTAGTTAATTATGGGTTGGATGCTTTAATATGGTATTAGAGCTGGGTCTTGAACATTTGGTGAGACTACTCTATCATATAGCTCAAAAATTAGTTCTGTTCATAGTTTGGTGCATGTAAGCATGGCATATCTATGATATTAACAAACTTGGAATACTTGCAGGAGGGGACTTTCTAAGTATTATCAAGGCAAATCTCAATCTTACGCATGTCTATCAAGAGTGAAGAGCATAGAGGATCTTGCAAAGAAAGAAGTTCCTTACAGAAGAAAAATGAAGTCATGCAAGAGCTATGCAGGTGGATTAGATGCCTACAAGTCCTACACTCTTCCCAAGCCCATTATATCCAAGAAAGCTTCAAAGAGTTCATTGCCTTCGTCTTTTCCGAGTAGAAGGGGAAGCTTTTCAGGTAGTTGCAGGCCCCCTTTGATCCCAGAATAAAAGAATGAGGGGTGTTAACCTATATACATGATAATTAGGCGCCCAAAAGAAAGGAAAGAAAAATATAATATCGATGACTTCCACCCGGAGAGAGAGAGAGAGAGAGAGAGAGATCTTGTACATAAGTTCTATGATTATCAGTTCAGAAGAATTCCTGTAATAATTTTGCATAGATATACAAGCTTTAAGATTTTAATTGCTCACAGCTAGACTTCAATCAATTTTTATGTGTTGATGAAATATAGCACTGCTTGAATGATCTGTGTCCATGTACTGGGAAGTTATAAAATTCATCCCTTTTGTTCTACGGAGCACCTTTTTGTTTATTTTTTTCAAAAGTTTTGATAATGATGAACCATCTTGTTCTGTGAAGCACTAAAATTCAACTTTGTTTTACACCACAAAAGGGTCATATTGCTCAAATGATGGATATTGTACTGAGCCAGCCATCAGTGATAGATAGTTATCGCCACGGCAGTAATGGCACTTGAATTCAACTTTTTATGTCTTTGAGATATTTTTTTCCTAAAGCTGCTTTCTACAAGCTTTCCATCCACATGCTATCACTTGGTAAATATGGCTTAGCTCTGCAATGAGAATCACATCATCCCAAAGGAAACGCGGTGCAAATAAAACGTGTACAATTGAGCTAGTAAAAAAAAAATACAGAACCACAAGGAAAAGAATGATAAAAGAATTAATGAGATAGGAGACTTCAAATTATGAGAAGCAAATGAAATGCAATTAGTAGATTGAAACTTGGATTAAGTTAAAGTTCCTACAGATTACAGACAGCTACCATTACATTAACTGAAGTTACGCAACACCCCCCCCCCCCCCCCCCAATCTTTAGTTTCAGTGTAAGGGGGAGGGATAATAAATCATGAAACAACGAAGATGCTGTTTCGTTCAAGAAAGATAATCCAAGGGTGCTGAGAAATCATGGAGATATGACTGCACGGTTGCGGATTCGGCCTGATCGCCTCACTGGAGTTGTCAGCAGTACCTTCTTCACTTCTCCACCTTTGCCCTCCTGTATCAGTACATTCAAAATGCTTATATGTCCAAAGGAGGTTAATGTTTGATATTGAACTTAAATAGAAACATCCCAAAAATGCAGAACCCCTCTTAGTATAACTTCCACTTCAATCAACTGAATTTGATCAAAAAAGGGGGAATTCCAGCACATCTCAAAAACAAATTATCTAGATTTATACTTGGTCATTGTTATTCAACAAAAAAAATAAGACAGAAGCATGCATGTCTTTGCCAACCCAATGCAAATTTGTTAGCACTTGTCCAACTAATTTGATGTTTTCTATGGCGGTGTATAATACCTGATGCACAACAAAAGTATTTCTCTTTTGATCAGTTAATTGTCCTTCTATGTATTAATATAAGCCAAATGAAGCTGAAACCAATCACACTAATCTACATACTATTTCATACACACAAGCATGTCCAAAGCGTTTAATTCATCAGCTCAGTCTATATTCTTTAGTCACATCCAAAAAAGATGTTAGTCTGTAATTGATATGTGCCCTTATATTCTTGTGGTGTTTATATTGAAAAACAATGCTTTTGCCACGTACAAATCACCAAGACATCAACAAATATTGGAGCCAACACCTTTCATGCGAAAACAGATATATATTTTTAGAACTAGAAGAATATTCAGGATTTACCTCTTTCTTTACGATCTTCTTTTCAGCAGTAAAACTTCCATATGAAGGAGAATCCATTGTTGAGACCTCCAATTCGGATGGTTGTGCTTCACTCGGAACCACATCAGCCCTGATCCATGGTCCCTCTTCTTCTCGAGAGACAGTAATATTGCTCTCTTCAGTTTGTATCATCTTGCTTCTCCTATCATATCTAAAAGAGCTGCTGACTTCTCCGATCACAAGCTCTCCAAGCAACTCAACTGATGGTGCGTGGCTGTGGCTATACTCTTTGGAAGCTTCTTCCTTTGAAAGGACTGAAGACCGAGGATTTGCAAAAGATTTAACCATGCCAATGTTCTCTTCTTCCACATTGGGAAGTGAGGGTGTGATTTTCTCTGCTATTAGGGGTTCTTCCACAGTGGAAAAAATTGGGGTGATTTTGTCTGCTGTCACATATTTAGCCACCGGCTTTTCAGTAGGCTGAGAATTTCGGACAAAAGTTTTCTTTTGCTTGGAATGTTGAATGAAACCCAAAGATGCCAACATAGATAAAAATATAGAAAGCCCGATGAGAACTGGGGATACAGATTTGATTTCGCCAGGTTTGACAAGGACTTCCATTGAATTGCCCTCTCTTTCAAAAATGCTGATATCAGGTTCTGGAATTTTCCTTTCTGTCACCCTTGCACTGACAATTTCATCACCTGCATTGCTAGTGATATCTTCAGGTCTCTCCATTCCATTCTCAGCAACTTTTTTTTCAGATCCGTCATAAATTCCTTCAACTGGTTCGATTCTGTCCTCACTTTCTATTAGCACATCTTCCGGATTTGAATCACCATGTTCCTCATTGACAGAAGCACTTGCAACTTCGATTGCCCTGTCAAGATGATCCACCCAGTCAAACTTACGTGGTTTCAGGTGGCCTCGAAAAGATTCAGAACTTTCTACAGACTCTGGCTCCAGCAACGAATCAGACCTCTGACCTATGTCCTCGATTTCATGGTCTTCAACACCTTCACTTTTTGTAGCTTCAGTCCCCTTCATCCGCTCGGAACTCCCCCTTCTTTTCTCCAATTCATGGTCAGCTACACCTTCACTTTCTGTGTTTTCAGCCCCCTCCAATTGATTAAAAACCTCCGCATTGGTCTCAAGTATGTGATCATCATCACTTTCTGCAGTTGGTTTAGACTTCAAATGATCACAAACCTTCTGCGTCTTATAAAATTCACGATGAATTGCATCTTCACTATCTCCATTTTGTAGCTCAACCACTTCCTCCAATCCCCGGCCACCATCCTTAGACGCCTTTTGCTCCTTAAACCCATCATGAATATCTCCAAGTTTCACTCCAAATAAACCTATTTGTTTCTCTACATTCTGATCCATAGATTTGTTTCTACCTTCGAAAAACTTCACAGTGACAGCTTCAAATACATGATTCTGAATATTTTGATACCCATTTTTAAGATCCCATGGCATTAGTTGAGACGCTAGAGGAGTAGGAGAGTTCATTGAAGATATATGTAAGGTAGATAGGAACAGAACAACCAGTACAAGTAAAAATTTAAGTACCCCTTTCAAGCTGCAAGCTCTCTCCTCAATCTCTTCAATTTCCTCATCTTCTTCATGATTTTCATCCTTATTGTTATCATTTGTATCATCATCTTGTTTGAAAAAACCTTCTTCAGAAGAAAATGAAGAGTTCATAGCATCTTCTGATGAATCTTCTTCAGCAACAACTTTCTGGGAATCAAAAGAAACACTTCTTTTGACACCAACCCCATCTTTTCCTTCTTTTATTTCACTACCTTTGCACAAAAAGATCTCACGACACCTGTTTGGCTTGTACCGAAGAAATTTAGGCCTTGGTGAAAGGTAATTTGTTAATGGGTCATAAGGCTTCAGAGATGAATTGCCAACAAAATTGTTCTGCCCATCAGAGTCAGAATCAGAAGGGCAACTGCCTGGTGGTGTGACCCGAGAAAAGGAAGAATCAGAGCGATAAACACCCGAACTCAGAGTAGTAGTTTTTGTGCCATGATTTGGGGTTTGGGTCAGATGGGTATCAGAAAAGGTTGAAGCTTCATTCCTCTCGGCCAAGATTTTCTTTCTTGGGACAATAGCCTTGGAAGCTGCAGATATGGTGGGTGACATGAAGTGCTTTGTGGTTGGTATCTTAGGGTTCTGTAGCTTGGCACCCATTTTGTCATGGTATAGATCATTCTCATTGGTTTGACCTGCATCTGATCAGAATATACATTTTCTTGTTACAATTCCTAAATAAATGAGCAATTAATGAAATCATTGATGGTCTCATGTTTGGTTGATGGGAATTGGGAAAAGAGATGACAAGAGATAGGAAAAGAAAAAATCAAAATTTGTAGCAACAAACAAACCCTTAAAATTTCAAGGTATCTACTTATCCCTCTATGTTTCCTCAGAAATCAATCGGACCATAATGAAATATAGCTCAAGAAACCCACAAAACGCAGAATTTTGTACGCAAGGCTGATCCATTGAGTAGACTTTCTCGCTCTTTCCTTTTTGTGTGTGTGTGTGTGTGTGTGTGAGAGAGAGAGAGAGAGAGAGAGAGAGCATACCAGAAGGTGAAAATTTGGGAATAGCAGGTCTGATTGGGGTCGGAGATGAGAAACCCTTATCAGAGGGCTCATAAACATCCATGTTTCTTGGAGATTTCTTCGTCTTCAACTGCAGATTATGGATCATAGAAGAAAAAATATGTCCTTTCGGCTTTTTGAGTCGGCTTTCTCTTTCTGTATCTGTAGTTTCTTGATGCTTCTCTTACAGTTGACAATTTTCTTGATGTTCTTGGAGGGGGGGGAAACGGTGTAAGGGCGAAACCAATAAAGATGACCGTTGGATTATATATGTCTACTACTTGAAATTTGAAATTCTTAAGTTTTTTGACCGTTGCACAAGTTTCGTAACGGTCAAAAGGAGTTCATTTATAGCAAGCCCTAGTGGTGTATGGGCCTGCCTGCCCTTATACCTTATCTCTCATTTGTCAGACCCAGAGCGTGGATATGGGTCTGCCTTTGTGTTACATCTTCTTTTGTCAATAACTAAAGACCAATGAACTGAGCTCTTAAGGCCAACATACTTTTGTAAGCCAGGCCCATTGTTCCCAAACTTTATATAGACTAGCAATGCATTTTTTAAATTTTTTTTTTTAGTAATGCACGACTTGTGTTGTACGTAATTAAATTAAATAATAAATTAAGTAACGAATAATTAATCTGTATTTTATTTATTAAGGTATCTCTCCAATATCTTTAGACATTTATATATCTAATTATATTATAGAATTATTAATTTTTACTTTGTTAAATTGATTAATTAGATCACTTATAATATTATTATATTAATACATACCAAAAAATAAAATATAACATATATTTGATTGTGAAATTTAATTTAGTAATTTCATGTGTATAATAATTTAACATATATAAGACTTTATTTTTTCATATAAATCCCAAAAATTGTATATAACTGTATTACTAATAAATGAGTTCAAAAAAATTTAAAAGTCCTTACAAAAGAGTCTAAAATAAATTGAAATTCAAATAGAAGTAAAAAAATAAAAATTAGATGAAAATATATAGGTGGGTATAATTGATTTTTTTATAATAATTAGGGGTAAAATAAAAAATTAAAAAAATTTCACAGATACTGACATTTATAATTAGTATAGATTAGATTACAATGCTAATAGCATCTTCAACAATACTTTCTATAAACCATAAAAATATTATAAATAATAATAATTATGGTGTAATATTATAGAGGTTATGAAAACAATACATTGTAAGTAATAAATAATCTCCAAAAATTATAACAAAAATCTTTAAAAATTTTATATGACGGATATGATATCCAAACTTTTTTCTAAATACCATAAAATTCTCCTTTATCGCATGAATACAAAATCACCATGCAATGCAATTTGACTAAAAATAAAGGTTTCAATCATAAGGTGTAGTTTAATTGGTAACATAGACGAATTATAAAAATCGGATATTTTGAGTTTAATTTTGATAATTTTTCAAAATCAAACCATGAGGGATATCGTAAATTGAACTAGAAAGAGAATTAGTCGAAATGTATATAAATTGTCCAAACACCTTAACCGTTGGATTAAAAAAAAAAAAATTTCACCTTCGTAATGGAAAATGGTGTAATGATTAATACTGTGTTTGTCGTTTGCATACATGACTGGAGTTTTGAATAATTTAGGAGCACATATCTATCACAAAAAACGTAAATGGTAATATGTCTTTACCCAAATTCATTTTTGACTGTTCCAATGAATTAATTCCTCAAAAAGATGAGAGATGACTTCAACAGAGCTTATAAATACATGATAAATTATTAGACATCGAATGAAGAATTGGTCGATTATAGATAGTTTTTTTTTATATGAAACGGCAAGTTTTATTAAATACTAAATGAGAATATCCTTCCGGAGAAGAGGATCCAAAAATTTTAGATATTCCTCTCTCCATGCAACAGAATTATTACAATGAAAAGTAAAATGAGCTAATTTATCAGTCACATCATTAGCAGAACACCTCACCCACGAAGTAAAAAACTCATGAAAATGTGTGACAAACTTCTGGATATGTTCAATGAAAGCTCTAGAGTTGGAGAAATTCGGTTCCTCGCTCCTAATATTCTCCACAACAGATTTTGAATCCCCTTCTAAAATAATACTTGTTAACCCCAGCTCCATTCCAAGCTCCACCGCATAAAAAGCAGCCAACGCTTCCATACATTCAACACTCAAAGAACTTTTAACTAGCTTGTATAATCCCCCAATGAAACTTCCTCTCCAATCTCTGGCAACAATCTCAATCCCCATTGTTTTAATAGAACTGAAAACAGTCCCATCAAAATTTCTCTTCACAGAACCCAGAGGAGGAGTAGACCAGTGATACAAACCAGCAGGTGAGATTTAAATGATGAATTTAATTTTCATTTAATAATTTAGTCTTTAATGTTATTTGAAATTCAAATTTTTCCCAAAGATTTTGCCCCCACTAGTATGGGATTATGGCTCCAACCCTAACAGCATAAGAACTCGAAGGCCTAAATTGTTGTCTTTTAGAGCAACTTCAACCACGATCAATAAGATAGTTATTTAAAATATATTTAAATATTGTATTCACTATTTTAGTTATCTATTTTTTTAAATTCACTTCAACCACACTCTCTATTTTAGCTGACTACTTCAGCTAACTTTAACTAATTTTTTGTAATATAATTCAAAAATTCAACTCAAAACATGTATAATTATCAATCCAACCAAAATTATATTATAATAATAATTCTAATTAAACTTTAAATGATACAACTTAATTGCAATTTAAGACCTATTCACTTTAAATAACAAAAATTAATTGTACAATACGTCTCATAAATTTTAAAAAAATTTCAAATACTTATATTAATATTTTTGAAGGGTCTGTAAATATTTTATTATACATAAAATTAAGGGAATTTTCAAAATTTGGTTGAGTTTCAGAATTTATTAGGGGTTTTCAAAATTTGTAGAGAGAGAATCTTGCTAGCCAGAAGTGATGAGTCAAAATGGGGGGAGGCAAAATAGTCAGCGGAATAGAGAATCGGTTGAAGACAAATTTTTTGAATTGACTCAGCAAAATAGTTAAAAGATAGCCTTTGTTGAGTCTGTTGGAGATATTCTTACTACTTAAAATGTTTATTTTCATGATCACAATCTAATATACTTTACTTTGAGTATATCACTATTTCACAATACGTGCACAAAGAAAATACATTTTCCACATGAAAACAATGACAAAGCAAGTGTGCAGTAGCCAAAAATCTTGAAGGAGCAAAAGAAAAGGGATTTGAACAAGCCCTTGGAGCAACATCTGCCTCGTGAAGATTGTTTGCAATATACAAACATAAACTTAATGGCTAGTTTGTAATCACCGATACCATTAAAAACAAATCAAGGACACAAAAAGATTGATACTTATCTGGGAAAAGCTTTTTATAAAAAAATTGTCAATCTATAATTTATAATATAAAATATAACAGATTTTAATAAGTTCATACAACGGCCACTAACATTTATCTCAAAATCATTCACATTATATCTTACATTTAAGTACTGAGTTACTTCTAATCTATTGATAACCAGCTGTTACTTTTGAATCTCCGTTGGATCAACCCCACACTCTCTTTTTAAAACTCAAACTTTCAAACAAGTACACCAGATTATTAAATAAGCTCCTCGATTCTCATTAATAACCTTGTTTTTCTTTTAATTAATGACAATTAACCCTCCTTAATTTCTTTAACATTGTTTGAAAAGTGGGTGTGACGACGATAGCAAAGCAGCTGGACCACAAAAAAACCTCCCATGGTCTCTCGGAGGAAGAGCTCTCAATACAAAAATGGTATTCGATCAGTGCTTGAATCAGAAGCAACATGCCACTTAATTAGGGTTATGTTTCTGTAATCTTGTCTAACTCATTTTTAAACGTTCCTTTCTTCTGTTCAAATTTGGGAGGAGCTTCTTGTCATTTCTCTACAACATTCTGGGCATATTTGTCATTGAAAAATATGTGACAATCCAATGAAAATTGATAAACTATTAACCCTTAATCTGATCCCATATGAAACAAAACAAAACTAAGGTATACATAAATTATATAATGTGAACTCCATATGACGTAAATTTAACTAAGTATAGTTATAAATGTTGGGTTTTTTGTGGAGTCTAATTTGTGTGTTGATCCGGGTGATGACCCGACCTAAAACAATGTTACGTGGTTTTTAATGAAAAATTGTTTGAGGCTTCGTTCATGGAGTGAAAGCTTGAGACGTAGGCAAATTGTAGCCCTGTGAGCAGGACATATATAAGTTGTTATTCGGTGATTAGGGTTTTTAGATTGATATTGTACGGCCGCCTCCCTCTTTGTATTCTTTCTTGAGAATAGTGAAATTCCTGCAATATCGTGGATGTAGGTAAATTATCGAATCACGTAAATTTTGTATTGTGTGATTGTTTATATTGCATTCTTATTATTTTTTTCATTAATCTCACTTTATTGTCGTCGTTTTATTTCACATAAATAAACTCATCATATATGAATAGAATAAATTTTTACACAACAAACCAATATAATCGAAAACATAATCCGATAACACTTATGAGAAAGAAAATTTGAGATTGATCAAGGACTATGACTCTTACGTTAATTAAGCTCATAATATTTTTTATGTGTCAATTGAGCCCCTGAAACTCTCTAATTGTGTTAATTGAATCATTATATCTGTCTTCATTACAATTTTTAATCAAAAAGTAATAAAATGTGTTACTCACGTGACAAATAGTTGGAGTAAACTGCATATATAGTCCTTAAACTATTATCTTTGTGTCAATTAAGTTCTTATATTTTTTTTGTAAAAATTAAATTTAAACTCTTTAATTGTGTCAATCGAGTCCTTTTTATCTTTTTGTATCATATAATTACGTGAGTAACACATTTTAACATAGAGAGATAAAAGGACTTAATTGATATAATTAAAGAGTTTGGGGTTTAATTGACATAAAAAAAATTCAAAGTCTTGATTACTCAAAAAAAATTTAATTTAGGAGACCAAAAATAAGGGCAATTATGGAATTCGGTTCGAAATTGTACTAGATCGGCATTAGCATAGAATAATAAGGGTAGCTGTGGGATTCGAAACTATTGTCGAGGGACAGAAATGGATATGACATTATCGACACACACTGCACGAAAATGTCGATGACAATGATGTATGGGTATGGGTACAGTGATGTAGTAGTCAAAGAAGGCTAAATTACCAAAAGTACCCTCACAATTATGTCTTTTACCAGGGGGGACATGACATGAGGGCATGGATGATGTAAGCTGCGAGTTTCAATGAGATTCCCAACCCATCAATCTCTAATCATTATGGATGAGAAATTTAAGATCCAAATTCCACCAATAGCCTTCCGACCCTTTCCTCTATTTTGGTCCCCCATCTTATGGTCACATGTACCCGAATCATGTGACATTCCTCACCTTTTTAAAATGTGAATAAAGAAATTACTTATTAAATAGTATTTATGAAATTAGTGGGGTTTGAACCAACCACAAAATGCACTAATTTTGAGCTATTGCATTCCCACATTGGAAGTCTCGTGGGAAGTTGGATTAATGTGACTTGGAAAATGCCTGTTGGCTTTTCAAAAATCTACCAAATTCTCACAACTCCCATAACCATCCATGCCTTAGGAGCAATCCATTTTCTTCTTTTTTTTTTCCAAGTGTTATGGTCAGTAGTGTCTGAGTCCGCTTATACGAATTATAACTAATTTCTTTTTCGGTCTAGTTAAAGACAGGTCATCTACGTTAAAACTAAGAAATTAATGAAAAATAAATCATTCATGACTTAGTCTCCCAATTTCAAAACCAAGATATTTAGATTTATAATTCATCACTGTCTACACTAGGCTACCCCGGTTTAAACACCATTTTTCTACCTTGCACTAGAATGCCATAACTTAAAAAAGCTCTCACTTCATTCATGAAACATGATTCAAACCAACTCTGTTAAAATTTACACCAGAAGTTTTTGTTAGTTCTGCTTCTCTACTCTCTAAATCATCTCCTCCTATGCAAATCATTTGTGATTCTGTACTAAATAGGCAGTACTCTAAACAACAATCTTCAATACTCCAGAACTTCATCAACTTGAGAACAAGACCTTTGCATTCTAACACTACTGAAGCTAGTTCTTGATGCCATAATCTCGTTAAGTGAAAGCTTCTTCTTCGGCCCTGGCCCTGGCTCTGGTCTCTGCTTTGGAGCACTGTGAGATCTCAGTTTTGCCTTGAATGATTGAGTATTGGCCATATAACTAGGATTGTTGGTGTATGGCCTAAAGAAAGTGTCACCGCATACGCTCTTGGCTGGTGTTGCCGGAGGATTGTACCTGCCAGAATTTGTAAAGCGAGGAGTGCTATGAGCTGTTGAAAACCTGCATTCATCACCTGTGAAGCACCATTCAAAGTCTTGAAGGTGACGACAATCGGGGATTGAGATTCGAGATGGAATTGGACATGGAAGTGGTGATGACATAGCTTGGTGGTAATGCGGGTCATCACTAGAATCAAACATACAATTGCTCATTCGACGAGATCTTGATTTGGGCTTGTATGTGTCGATTTCCACGATTTTCGGGCTCCCCTCATAAATGTCATAAGAAGCTGACAGTCTCTTGCTATGGAACTCACTTCTTGTTTCATCAAATTTCTCCTGAAAACACAAAACAAATCCAATTATAATTTACCAACCTGATCAGGAAACATAGTGATTTTTCAAACAAAAGGAGGGAAATTGATATCTTACAACGGACTTCCTCGTTCTCATTTCTGGTTGAAATCTATACTCATTGGTGATAGAACGGCGAGCTCTTTGGGATCTGGCAGCAGTCTGAGCCCTTATGAGAGCTTGCATACTGTGGAGAGTTGCAGCGGCTCGTTTCCGAACAAGGTATCCTCTAACAAGAGCCTGTAATTTCACCAGTCCTCTTAGAGCTCGAAGAGCTTTTCTGGCCTGTAAAAGAGCCAAAATTAGATCAATTACAGGGGGAGGGAGAGTTAAAAAAAAAAAACTCCAAATTTTTTCAAGTGAATAGTATAAGACACCCACCAAAGTTTTTTTTTGATAGAAACCCACATTCATTGTACAAATTCAAAAAAAAGCTACAGTTTTTCAAGTGAATGGGAAAAAGACATACCCAAAAGTCAAGCTTCATAGAAACCCAAAATTCAATGTACAAATTTCCAAATTTAGAATAAAGAAAACAACAGAATGAGGGCCACTCCACCACAAAACAATAACACACAGCACAAGGACACAAAGTAGAAAGTTGGAAAAGTCATGATGGAGCATGAAAACTACTCAACCAAATTCAATGTACATGTTTTCAAATTTCAAATTTTCAGGAGTTTCCGAACAGAGCTCCTCTGCCTCGAGAATTAACAGTAAATTTATGAACAATAGCAAAATAGCAGAAGAAAACAGAGTGGATTTGAATCAAGTACATATCAAAGATTCAAACGCTATTGAGCAGATTAAATTGGACCATGCTTGAAAGAACAAATAAGATGAATTGAAAAAGAAAACCAACTTACCAGAAAACCCCTGAAAACAGTCTGAATTTTCACAGAAGCCCATCTCTCTCTCCCTCCACTGAACAGACCTCCTCTGCCTTGGCTAGTGAGTCTCACAACAGCCACCGCCGCCTGTGCCGCCGCAACAGCAGCATCGGCGGCAGCCGCGGTGGCAGCTGCGACAGCAATTGCGTGCTTGCTTTGCTCTTTCTCTGTCTCTTTCATATAAGATCTCAGCCAAGCAGAGTCATTGACCCGAATATTCGCCGTAGTGTTGACTGGGATCTGACCCAATACGCCTGAATCTTTCCCAGATTTGCCAAAACTCCACCTTTTCTTCTCTCTCTTGTCTCCGTAGTTTGAATTCTCCAAGTTTTCCTTGTCTTTCTTCATACCCAACAAGCCTCTCAACCACCGAGTAGCTTTTCCCATTCTCTCCCTTCAAACCTCTGGTTTGAAACTATGGAAAGAGACACAATGTATACTTGAGTAAGAGAAAGGTGAAAGGAGGAGCAAAGTGTTGTCTTACTAAGAAAATAAATTGTGAAGGACAGTGTATGCTTTGCAATATGCTAGCCGTGGAGTGTGCACAAAACAGAGTATGGAGGAAAGTGTAACTAAAGGCAACAAACCTTAAACTAGTGGACAGATAAATATTGGTTTTTATTTTTTAGTTTTCTGAGAAAAATATAATCTGACACAACCTCGTGAAGAACTGCATTACAAGACAAAAAGGTGTTGCTGAAAGAAACGAATTTAAAAACATTAAATTGAAAAAGATTGAAACTTCCAAACCAAACAAACAAGGAATTACAGACAAAATCAGTGGAAAAGTTTGAAAAAAAAGGTGTAATAATCACACTGGGAGAGACTCAAAAAGTCTAAAAACCACCCACCTACTGAAAATTCGAAAAAGGGTTTGAACTTGTTCTTCCACTTCCACCAATGAGAAACTCAGGTGACTGAGAAAAGCAAAAGCTTTTGCCCCACCCTGTCTCTGTTCTCTCTAGTCAAACAGACGAAAATTGCACACAAAATCAAAATAAAGTAAGAGCCATTCAATAATAACAGTAATCACAGAGAAATACTCAAAAGAACCCACCTTTTCAAATTCAAAAAAGCAATCGAGTCTTACTTCCTCCAATGAGAACTCATGAAACCCACGAGCCAATGAGAACTCACAAGGCCAACAAAGAGGACTGCCTCTCTCTCTCTCTCTCTCTCTCTCAAATATTACTTCAAAATTCCTCAATAAAAAAGAACTCTCTTTTTTCTCTCTAACTTTCTGGAGCAACGTGTAGTAAATATGCAAAATATGTGCAATGGTTCCTAGCCGCTGACACCAGCTCGTGGGCCTCGCAGTAGTTTCATCTCTCTCTCTCTCACACACACACACACACACACACACACACACAAACAAACTCACAGACCCATTATGAGTGTTTTGCCATATTTTACATCTGTAAGACTCTGACTCTGATCTTTGCTATCAATCTCTTTAGCCCTTCATGTCAAAAAACCTTCAATGGCCTTGTCTCCAGCTTACAAAGGCCAAAAATGGTGCAAATAATGGCCTGGGTTTCTGAGAAACCTCATGATTTCCCACTGTGTACTTCCTCTCAATAAGCCATTAAAGCAATTGCCAAAAAAGAACTGTTTTGTATTTGATTGCTTCTCTACTGTACCGGCCAAAACAGATGATAATAGAAAGGAAATATCTTTGATTTGGGTCCCCGAATCTTCCTGCGATATTCAGAAAATTTTCATTGACNACAACCTCGTGAAGAACTGCATTACAAGACAAAAAGGTGTTGCTGAAAGAAACGAATTTAAAAACATTAAATTGAAAAAGATTGAAACTTCCAAACCAAACAAACAAGGAATTACAGACAAAATCAGTGGAAAAGTTTGAAAAAAAAGGTGTAATAATCACACTGGGAGAGACTCAAAAAGTCTAAAAACCACCCACCTACTGAAAATTCGAAAAAGGGTTTGAACTTGTTCTTCCACTTCCACCAATGAGAAACTCAGGTGACTGAGAAAAGCAAAAGCTTTTGCCCCACCCTGTCTCTGTTCTCTCTAGTCAAACAGACGAAAATTGCACACAAAATCAAAATAAAGTAAGAGCCATTCAATAATAACAGTAATCACAGAGAAATACTCAAAAGAACCCACCTTTTCAAATTCAAAAAAGCAATCGAGTCTTACTTCCTCCAATGAGAACTCATGAAACCCACGAGCCAATGAGAACTCACAAGGCCAACAAAGAGGACTGCCTCTCTCTCTCTCTCTCTCTCTCTCAAATATTACTTCAAAATTCCTCAATAAAAAAGAACTCTCTTTTTTCTCTCTAACTTTCTGGAGCAACGTGTAGTAAATATGCAAAATATGTGCAATGGTTCCTAGCCGCTGACACCAGCTCGTGGGCCTCGCAGTAGTTTCATCTCTCTCTCTCTCACACACACACACACACACACACACACACACAAACAAACTCACAGACCCATTATGAGTGTTTTGCCATATTTTACATCTGTAAGACTCTGACTCTGATCTTTGCTATCAATCTCTTTAGCCCTTCATGTCAAAAAACCTTCAATGGCCTTGTCTCCAGCTTACAAAGGCCAAAAATGGTGCAAATAATGGCCTGGGTTTCTGAGAAACCTCATGATTTCCCACTGTGTACTTCCTCTCAATAAGCCATTAAAGCAATTGCCAAAAAAGAACTGTTTTGTATTTGATTGCTTCTCTACTGTACCGGCCAAAACAGATGATAATAGAAAGGAAATATCTTTGATTTGGGTCCCCGAATCTTCCTGCGATATTCAGAAAATTTTCATTGACTTTCGGTGATTCGTCCACAAATCTCTGCCGTTGATTTTGCAGAAAATCTCTGGAAAGATGGTTGTTTTTGGAGGAAACTGAAAAGGGGTGTGATAGTGTAAGGGTGGATAGGCGGATCTGAGTTTTACTACTTCTATATGCTAATTAAAGAACTGGACAATTAAGATGCTACGGTAGAGGACGGTTTGTGGGGACTTTTCAAATTGCCCAAAATTTGGGGGCGGCTGATTAATTGACCCATTCTTAAGGCCTTAAAAATAGTAATCTGAAAATTTAATATTGGCTATTTAATAGTATTTGGTAGAATTTTTAAATTTTGAATTGAGTTGATTTAAAGGGGTTAGGAAGCTGTCAAACCGCATATTTATTACCAAGATTAATCGCACTTGCCTATTTGTATTGGAAATTGCTATATACCTTAAAAGAAATTCAAAAGTTAAAACGTAAATATATATTATTCTTCAAATTTGTGTGAGATAAGTGGATTTTATTAAAAAAATTAATGGGACCCATTTATTCAAGAAATGATATTTATTTAGGTAATAATTTTTTGAGTTTCATTTGAATTTTATAACATTGTTAATTTGTAAAAGTAGTAGTCTATGGCAACAAAAAAATAATAATAACATATTGTAATTATAAGTTTTGAGGATATTTTTTACATAATTTGATAGTTATTTATGAAATTTTAGGGTTATTTTATGATTGATAATTGAATCGAGCTATTTTTGGTTCGACTTATTTTTAAAACGAGTCAAGTTTAAATAATTTTTTAGCCTCGGCTCGAACTCGCAAAGTTCAACTCGTTTATATGTTACTCGAACTTGACTCGAGCTTAGCTTGTTATGTAAATGAGTCAAAATTGAACAATTTTTTAAGTTTATTTAAAAAAAACGAATTCAATAGGGACAACTCAAACTTGAAAAACTGTTAATACTTTTTGTCCAAATAGCATTTCTCTTAGATCAACGTTGTGGTTAGCTGCGGTTGATGGTTGGCCGGCGCTAAAGTTTGGTGTACAAATTCCTTCCGGCTAAAGGGGTCGGCGGCGAAGATAAGATAGTAATGCATGAAGAGTTAGCTGCCACTTTTAGTCCAGAAACGCTACGTGGTTATTTTTAGATCACATGGAAGTGAAATGCTTGAAGGCTAACTCACATGCATGGGTTGAAAGAAGTTAACCCAAGAAAAAAAGACTGCTACTTTAGCATTGACTTGGGGAGTCTGCTGAGTTTGGGCCTGATGTACAAGACCAACATCAGCCCACTTTTTTATCCACGGTGAGTACAAAAAGCTGCTTGTTCGAAGTTCAATAAAGAGGTCTTTTTTTTATTAATTATTATTATTATTTTTTGGTACATTGGAAAGTAAAAGAAGGGTCAGGTACACCCTCTCGCAAAAGACATACAGGCTAAATCATTTTTCAGAACTTCCCCTAGGGAGTTTGGAGGAGAAGACGAGAAAACAAAAAGTTACTTGGTGCTGAATCATTCCTAAGGTTAAGTACATGAGTCTATCAGTAAAAATTAAAAAAAAAAGCTAAAATATTATTATTATAGCAATGATACTACAAAACTGGAAAAATTATGTGTCCTTTAGATCGTTCAACCGCTTTAAAGTAGATTCGAATCACTCACATAAAAATTTTTAGTCATATTTGTTTTTGGAAAAAAAAGAAATTGAATGTGCCAATATCGATGCATTTGACCAATCAATTGAGAGAAAGGATCAATTACACCCGTCAGAAATTCACTATTCACTAAACAGGAAGACATACGACCAATTCAATTCTTTAGTGTATTCTTATGTCTTTTCCCCACTCCCTTTACTCTAGTAATTAGTATGGTGACCAGTGTAAGAGTAAGCAAAATAGCCATAGCACCCTAAACCGAAAATCAAGCAAGCAGGGGAAAGTGAAGGGTAGCCAAGGAGAGGGGATCGAAATAGGCACCTCATGCTACCGTACAACACATATCAACCATCTCGGAAGGACCACAGGTCCAGATCAATTTTTAAGTACACAAAAAGAGGACATAACCAATTTTTACCACTAAAACAGTAAAAAAACCTTTACAACGCCTGGTTCACTACTGCCATTGCATCTCCAGAAAACGCATGCACTCAAATGTCTAGCTCATCATTCATTTCTTTACACCCGAGCCAAGAGAGCAAAATAAGCAAAACATTCATAGAAACAAGTCTATCCATCCTCCTACCATAGTACAATTAGCTGCAGTTGTGATAAAACTAGGTACGCCTCCTTCTCTCCTTAACACACAGAAAATATAACCCAAAATGTCAAATGATAATCACGAGACAAGTCTCTTTCAATCTTTAGTAAAGACTCCACATAGAAGCTTTTCTAATTCATGAAGCATCTAATGGAAGCTTTTCTTGCTTGCTGCCAACTGCAAAAGACCACATTTTCAATGTCAGTAGATGGAGTTTAAACCACAAAAAAGATGTCAAAAAACAGTTTTGGGGGGACTAGAAAGGTAAACTCACGGCATAGAGTGGTAAGTTCGGAGCTTTTCAACACACGCAGCCTTTTTACAGTAGATACAAACATGCTGCAAATAACAGGTCCATAAACCAAAGTTACAACGAGCAATCTATAGCAAAATACGGTCTAATTACAATCTCAGATAAACAAATGCTGCAAAACATGTGCAAAGAGACCTGATTGTGTGGTAGTGGATGCAATCTATATTTATCAAGGTACCCCGAAATCACAATATCCCAAGATAGAAAATTACCATATGGTGAGAATTGTAACAATCTGGACTTATTAATGGATTAAGAAGTTGGAAGGGCACTTGTGCTCTTTCATAAAAAATCATCTCATCTCCCTGGCTTGTAGGAATGATGGATGACTAACAGTAAATGATTACAAAAAGGAAATTATTTTTTTCAGCTTGGAATTATAGAGATGAGTTGAACATAAGGAATCTATTTAGAGGTTTTGAATTGCAGTCCAGGAAGAATTAAACAAAACACACTTATACAAGTGATTGTTTTTCAATGGCTTGCCTGTACTAGTGTCAGAATATTAAAAGAAACAGAACAATAAAAACTGAATCAGATCCACAGTTGTTAGATGCTTACTGCCATGGGACATCCCCAACAAGCATCCCGTCTCCTTCATTATCCTCATACACGAGTGTAAATTCACCGCTTCCATCTGATAGACCCGTAATAGGTTTCTTGTCCACTTGGTTGTTATCGATTCCACCAGCAGAGGGATCTCTTTGAGCTAAACAATAAACAAACCAACCGAGACAACTAAAATTTCATATAAATTGAACATATAAATACCGCTAAATCTCAAGCTAAATGAAAACCACTAAAAGCATGCAAAAACAACTCCTCCCAGCCCCCTAAAAAAATTAAAAAAAAATAACTCGGCTTCTCTTTCAGCTCTCGTAGATGCACAAACACACACACAAAAGCAAGCACATACTCAGACACCACATGAGTTTTACCTAAAATAATATGTACATCTGATTGACCAAGTGATTCACACCAAGATACAATTGCAGCCATATGCCAAAAAAAATTGTTACTTACAATTTCTTGTGGATAGAAGTAACGAGTGAACATCAGTTTATCTGTATGGCATTTTGACTATCTAACCGACAGATCAACCACATATGTAACTATAAAAAACTTGTGTTGTTGATTTGTTAGACAAAGTATTGTAGATAACCTGCAAGAAGGTCTCTAAAGAGTTCATCAACAGCAGAGGAGAGCTTATCATAGCAGTCGTAGGCTTTAAGATTCACTTTTCTTCCAATAGGGACTCCATCCATATTGATCTTCACAAACAAACCTTTTGGACCAGTTCCAAGCGGTTTCTCGTTGGCAACCTTGTTTGGGACCACTTTTTGACACTCGGGGGAGGGCTTTGAAGAGTTGCTACTGGCAAGATTCTTCCTAAATGAACGAATTGGAGGCCACCCCACAACCGAAGTAGGAGCAGATCTATTTTATATTTTGTTTGTGTAACCATCAAGAGAGAAATTACACAGATTAGTCAGAAAAATGGAAATTAAATAAGTTTCACAGATCAGCTAGATCAAAGCACCAACTTATAGAATAAAGACAGTACCAAAATTCAAGTAGTGGTATGAGAACACATATAACAAACACAAACCTGTTCTGTTTCCCAATATAACAGAGTCAAAGGCTATTAGTATGCAAAAAATCCAGAATTCCTATACTTATTTACAAATTGATTCTTTGGGTAAGATTAACAATATGAAAATGAATCCTACAGTGAATAAGATTCCCAGTTGCTATAGAATACGCATAAGACAAGTATATTTCTAAAATTGTTTAAAAACCATATCATAAGATTGGAAAAGCTGTGAGACTATCATAAAGAAACGAGGATCGAGCTTATATTTGACAAACAATAATGTCAAGTGTGTCTAATTTAAGGACCTAATTTGGAAAATTACTGGATTGTGACCATTAAATGGCTAATAAACTTCATTCAATACTGTAACCCACGTATAATCTAATGTTCACAATTGACTTGGGTTCTCATTATGCCCCAAATTAATATCTCTGAGAACGACTGTTGTTAATGGGTGGGCACTAAGCAGGTGAAAGGACTTGAAAATCCAGGCAACAGTGCAGCATCATCAAAACTAAAACAAGAAGAACATTGAAATAGCAGATAATTTCACAAAAATGATTATGTAGCCCAGAAAGTTACAGAAATAGTAATGAAATAAATCATACATTAGAAAAAAAAAAAAGTGAAATAATTATGGATGGACCACAACATCTAAGAAGGTGTGTAAAATAGTGAATGTCCTGTGTCCAAAAGGAAAACAATAAACATAAAGCTGGGGAGCTACGTACCTTTTCTGAGAGCTGTTGGGCACAGCTGTATTTGCAGGCGCCGGAGAAAATGTCTTCTTTTCTGCACTCTGCAAGTCTACCACTTTAGTACAACATGGCTGTGACGATTCCTTTGCCATAACAGGCAAGCTTTGTGGGGTTGATTTGAGCTGAAGAAATGGAGCCTTTGTCTGCTGTTGCTGGGCTTTAACCTGGTAATTACCTGAAGATGACCATGGAGATGGCAACACAGTCTCAGTTGGACTCTCAGAAGAAGAAAATTTCTGGCTTTGGCTTCCTTTGTTGTTCATGATCCAACTAGCTTCTATGTACCCTCTCTTTGCACTAGACGAGGTGTTTGGGTACCCAATAGTATGAAGAGACTCATCTCCTTGTACAGGGTTGGTTTTGGAAGTATTTTTGGTGGTCCAGTCATCGCCTGGTGGACCAAGCCTTAGCTCGAGCTTTTTATCCTCTGAAAGTCCATGGCTTCTTTTTTCTTCTCCTTTCACAACCCATTCTCTCTCTTTTGGAATCAAATCAAGCAACTGTGGACAGACCTCATCCTTCCTTCTATACCCCTCCATTTCTTTCCCAAGAAAAGATAATAGACGATAGATGAAACGTATAACAGCGCTGCAAGATAAAACCATATTCTAGTCAAAGAAGCATCACAAACATACACTACAAAGAAAACATCATCTTTAAAACCAGGAATATGGATGGAAAAAGAGAGAGAGAGAGAGAGAGAGAGAAAGATCTCCAAAAGATAGGACAGTACTACATGCCTTTGTGCTTAACCAAAGCTCAAAACTATGGAAACCCACATCCTGAAATCATCAAAACCGAGTTGTTTTGCTCAGAATATCAAAAACCAAGAAGAAGAAAAAAGCAATAAAACCCTCCTAACAGCCGACGGGAATTAAGGAAACATCCAAAGCTTGTTGAAAGAAAGCTACATACTCACACAGTGACTACAACTCATCAAGTTCTCAAAGCCAACATATGAACAAACCAAGTCTAAAACGCAAACCATAAAAACCACCCCAAGAGAAACCCCAACAAGACTAAGAAAGCAAACCCAAATATAAGAAACAGCTATGATAGTTATGAGATTGCAATCTTGGCTCTCCTTTCCTTATTTTTATATTCTTTTTGCACGCTCAGTAAAAGTGGGTTCTCTTTTCTCTCTCTNAAATAGTGAATGTCCTGTGTCCAAAAGGAAAACAATAAACATAAAGCTGGGGAGCTACGTACCTTTTCTGAGAGCTGTTGGGCACAGCTGTATTTGCAGGCGCCGGAGAAAATGTCTTCTTTTCTGCACTCTGCAAGTCTACCACTTTAGTACAACATGGCTGTGACGATTCCTTTGCCATAACAGGCAAGCTTTGTGGGGTTGATTTGAGCTGAAGAAATGGAGCCTTTGTCTGCTGTTGCTGGGCTTTAACCTGGTAATTACCTGAAGATGACCATGGAGATGGCAACACAGTCTCAGTTGGACTCTCAGAAGAAGAAAATTTCTGGCTTTGGCTTCCTTTGTTGTTCATGATCCAACTAGCTTCTATGTACCCTCTCTTTGCACTAGACGAGGTGTTTGGGTACCCAATAGTATGAAGAGACTCATCTCCTTGTACAGGGTTGGTTTTGGAAGTATTTTTGGTGGTCCAGTCATCGCCTGGTGGACCAAGCCTTAGCTCGAGCTTTTTATCCTCTGAAAGTCCATGGCTTCTTTTTTCTTCTCCTTTCACAACCCATTCTCTCTCTTTTGGAATCAAATCAAGCAACTGTGGACAGACCTCATCCTTCCTTCTATACCCCTCCATTTCTTTCCCAAGAAAAGATAATAGACGATAGATGAAACGTATAACAGCGCTGCAAGATAAAACCATATTCTAGTCAAAGAAGCATCACAAACATACACTACAAAGAAAACATCATCTTTAAAACCAGGAATATGGATGGAAAAAGAGAGAGAGAGAGAGAGAGAGAGAAAGATCTCCAAAAGATAGGACAGTACTACATGCCTTTGTGCTTAACCAAAGCTCAAAACTATGGAAACCCACATCCTGAAATCATCAAAACCGAGTTGTTTTGCTCAGAATATCAAAAACCAAGAAGAAGAAAAAAGCAATAAAACCCTCCTAACAGCCGACGGGAATTAAGGAAACATCCAAAGCTTGTTGAAAGAAAGCTACATACTCACACAGTGACTACAACTCATCAAGTTCTCAAAGCCAACATATGAACAAACCAAGTCTAAAACGCAAACCATAAAAACCACCCCAAGAGAAACCCCAACAAGACTAAGAAAGCAAACCCAAATATAAGAAACAGCTATGATAGTTATGAGATTGCAATCTTGGCTCTCCTTTCCTTATTTTTATATTCTTTTTGCACGCTCAGTAAAAGTGGGTTCTCTTTTCTCTCTCTGACCCTAGTGGTTAGAACTTTGGTATGGTAAGCGAGGACTGAATAGAAGGAAGCAAAAGAAAGTGAGAGAGTATAGACCAAGGGCGATACCCTTCACATATATAAAGGACCCTCAAAACAGGACTGGAATTAGAGCACGACACACGCAACCATACCCTATAAACATAACTAGTTTTTCGGTTTAGGAAGCAAAGCCTGCTGACCTCTCTCCTTCACCAATAGAAAAAGATGATCTTATGTGAGTCTATTCAATTGATCAGACTACGACACACCACCCCAAACACACACCCCACTACCGGCCAACAACTTAGCCGTATTAGTACATTACGCCAAACATTCCCCTATTATTAATTGAGTAATGCTAGATGTTTTCATAAACTTCGATGCATGTCCGAACTGTCATGTAAATTAAGCTGGACTTAAGTAAACCCAGAACATTAAAGAAGGGCAGGGGTGCTATTTGTATGGTCAAAACTCAAAGCATTATTTGATTTAACTTTCATAATATTTGGGTCAATTTATACGCATCTCAATTAATTTTAAATATAATTATTAAACACTGTTATGCAATTCAAATCTTAACTCAAATATTATATCTTAAACAATATCAAAAAAAGAAAATATTATATCTTAAATACATATACACAGCATATTTCACTCTAGGAGTTTCAAAAATTTAATTTTTTTCATTCAATACGTGGTGCACGTCAGCACATGTATTTTAGATATAAAATTTAAGCTAGGATTTAAATAACATAGAATTTTCGTGGTCATTTGAGAGGGAGAGATTCATACTAGCCGGGATTGTACAATAAAATCATGCAGATCCCGTTCTTCTGACTGTTGCCGTCCACAGGTATTCCCAGATGGGGTCCACTCCGCTAGACTAAATTTAGAGTCTTCCCCTTACAGCCGTTTGATTGATAGACTTTATTGAAATAAAGAATTGATTGATGTTTTTTTCCTTTTTTTTTTTGAGGAGGGAAAGAAGAGAAGGGGAGAATTGAACATTTGATCTTATGAAGATAAAATCTTTATTAGATAAGGAGTACTATTAAATTAAAAATCTGTTGGTACTTTCATTTGATTGATTGGATCATGATCAGATGAAAATATCAACAAACAAATGAGTGAATAGTATTGAGAAATTGGATTTTTTTTTCTCTTATACCTAACTTTCAAACAATAAAAATTAATATACGTAACTTTTTATTTATTATATATTATATATTGTTATTGTTATGCCAAAAATATATCAAATCAAGATTTAATTTTACTGAAACTGTATTCGTTGATAATAATTCATCGATTCAAAATTTATATGTAACATATAATAATATTAATTCAAAAAATGCTGAGAATATGATTCCGTCAACACGTATTGATTTGAAACTTGTGTCCTATCGCCCAGTCAGTTGAAATGCCAGACACAATAGGGCCTTACACGTTGCCGTGCATGAACGTAATACCCTTTCGCAATGAGGTAAAATTAGATGGGTAGAAAAAGATGAATGAAAAATGGAGGAAAAAGAGGGATTTTCTTTTGTTTGGTTGGAAAGTAAAATGGAGAGGAAAGGAAAATGAGATGAGCAGAGAATCCCTCCCGCCAACCTTTTTTAATCCGCCCAAATTTGGGCAAAAAATGGCTGGAAAAGTTGGGCAATACATGAATTTACCTTAATGTTCCTTGAAGTGATGGTTTGAAAGTGACAATTTTTCCATGTCTCTCAAATAACAATTACAAGGGTAATCATGTACTTTAATAAATTATATTTTTATGTTCATTTTTTTCACATACATATAATTCAATAAAAAACTTATTTTTTCTGACTTTTTCATTCTTCTTACCAAATATGAACTAGAGAAAACATCTTACTTCTTTCAAAGGATTGAAAATACATTTCTTCTTTCTTTTCATTCCTCGTATTTTTCATCTCTACTACCAAAACATACCATAAAAGAAACAGAGTAAGGCAGATGACCACTTTTCCAAAACACCATGCACTTAACCCAATTACTAACTCTTATTGTCTCCTTTAAGACAAGCATATCTTACATTGTCCAAAATCCGAAATTTAACTGTGTTGTTTTGATTATGACAAAAGTTTAAGCTTATACTTTCTCATGGTTGTTATAATGATAAAGATTCAATGATTAATGTGTAAGAGTTTCTAAATTCGATTTGCACAAGAGAATTTTAATTAATTTAATTATTTTTAAACCCAATTTTGGTAACTATAGAATGAGCATTGTGGAACTATCTACTTCAAAAAAGATAGCTATAATAAAGATACTTCAACCTTCTTTCTTCTTCGGTCGAATACATATCAGATCAGAAAGATCATCGTTGAGACAAATAATGTAATAGCTTGAGCGCAAAAAAAGTTGTTGAATAATTTTATGCATCTTGAATTTACATAAAAAGCATGAAATAAAGAAGTCAAGGTTGATATGATTATCAATTATTAAAAAAATTCATACTTTTATGAAATTATTAAATCAACTACACATAAAATAAAGAACAAAAAAGTTGAATGAGAAAAAAAATTTAGAGAATGATATTATTCTCTTTCTTTTCGTTTTTCTATAAAATACAGTTACTACTCCCTCCGTTCTTAAATATCTGTCGTTTTACACAATTTTTTTTGTTCCATAATATCTGTCATTTTAAAAAACCAAAGCATAATAAATATTTTTTCTTCCAAATTTACCCTTATATCTGTTTTCCAATAAGTGCTTAATAGATTAAGTGTAAGCTAAGTGTCTTTCATATTTCTTTCATTCTCAATACGTATTAAATAAGAGTACTTTAGTCTTGTGAAATTATTTTTTACTCATATTAGAGTTATTTAATAACTTCCTTAATCCCTGTACAAATTTTAAACGATAGATATTTAGAAACGGAGTAAGTATTCACTAGTATTAATGCACATTAATATATACTATTCATTAATATCTAACACTATGCATCACTATTTATGCATAATTAATACATACTATTCACTAGTATTAATGCACATTAATATATACTATTCATTACTACTATCTAACACTATGCATCACTATTTATGCATAATTAATACTATTGGTGCATAGTAATTATTCAAAGTAGTCAACATTTACGATAAACACAATACAAAATGTCAAAGGACAATAATGATATACCGACCAAAATTAGGAACTACATACAAAGTTCAAAATGACATGATAACTAGTTTGAAAAATTAATTAGACAATAATCAGCCTAATCAGACAGCAACCATGTCATTTGACAGCTTTTATTAAATGATATGATAACTGATTTAAAAGATTGATTAAACTGTGATGTCATTTAAACTATTTATTTAGTCCCTAATTTTGATCGCTGGTCAAAGGGTATTAAGCACATTGTAACCAAATAACAGTATTTTCACGTGCAGCTTCGCTCTCATTTGGACCGAAAACGATGTTTTTGTTTGAATCCCAATTTAATGATCATAAAATACTTTCACTTACACTGTTTCTGGCTTAGAGTTCTACCGTGTTGTGTTATCATACAATTCAAAGATTCATCGGATCAATTTGGTCGGTAGACAAGTACACCAAATTGACAATATATCTTGGTACATATAATTTTATGAACCTACACGCAGGTCTCATAATCAGCATCAAATTGACTGGGTTGTTTGGAAGTATCCCTACCAACCTATTACGCTACATGTTTTCAAGAGAATTAGAAAATAAAAGAAAAAAATGGGGATAGAAAATGCATTTCAAGAGAATGAATGTTTTTGGAAAATGTTAAACAAATTTAAAAAATGTATTTAAAATTTTGACTTATAAATCTCTATTATTGAATGGATAGTGGGTGTCAATATATATTAGAACCCAAATCAATGGCACATATAACAACCACAAAATTAAATCAGGTTTTTAAGTCGGTCTTTAAGTTTGTGTAGCATTACTCATAAGTTTTGTGGTTCAATTCAAAAAAAAATCGGATGTATAAAAATTCCACAAAAAAATTCATTATAAACCCAACATACATTTTTCATTCATCACGGGGGCATTTAAATGCAATATGAAAATTGATGATACTAAAAATAATATCATAAATAAGTAAAAAGATATTTCTATATCTCGTCCGACCGCAAGGTTCAATGACGAAGTCGACCACGTCGTTCATATCAACTAGAGAGAGTTTAGAATTTTTCAACTCAGGTCAGGAGCACAAATCAATCTTATTTATCCACGAGCTATCCAAATGAACAATATGCATACTCGAGCAATACGACCTCTCATAGGCTTGGAAGATCATATCATATCCAAACTTAGGGAGAGGTCTCAATACCACCTCAGATGTTTTAAAATGTCACGTCATATTTAGAGAATACAACCTCTAAAAAACGATAAATATTTTCCTACCAAAATCCTAACAAATTGAAGATAACACAAGAACCACCTTACAAAGAAAATATAAATACAAGGACAATCACCCATTTAAATGGACCAATTGTACTGTCGGCAAT